AGACAGACGTATAAAAATGTTCACTCTAGACAAATGGTGGTAGCCTCTGCCTGATAACATGACACTGAGCACTGACAAGTGGTCATGTTGCTAAATAAAACTTACATTCATTAACATGTGCCAGGCCTGATCTCCTGGAATGTAGGCCACGAGGGTAAGAAGGGGGAAAAAAAAGCTCAGTGTAATCTGCCCGGAGGAGGGCACAGCTCTTCTAAAGAAAGGCTAGCTCAAGTAATGCTGGCCGCACGCATGCTCCCCTCCCGTGAGGACGGGCAACTTTTCTTTTGGATTGTTTGTCACAGTGGGAAGGCTCTTCAAAAAAAACCCACCACCACACCAAAACACTGGCAAAAGCCCTGCAGATACAGAAAATTAGAGTAGGAAATGAAGCAACTTCTCTTTTTCTTCTTGTTCAGCAGTGTAAGTAGGACTTCGGGGGAAGGGGGGGAGGGGAGGGAGTTGTTTGAGAAGGTGGGAGGAAAAGATATTCTGTGGGAAAGTGTGTGGCCCTACCTTCCTAACAGATTACTGGAGAATGACAATGAAGAATTCTTAGTCTTCTCTTTGTCTGTAGGAGAATGCAGTGGTATAGACCACAAAATTAAGAAAAATAAGCAAAGGAGTAGGTCAAAAGGGGGGGGAATGAAAATGTTGAAGGGTTGACAGATCAATATGCATTGTATACATAAACTGCTTTGTTAAATGGCAAAAGAAATGCAACACTCATCCTAAACAATGAGCAAAGGCAGGGAAGGTGTGGGCGGGGTGGGGTGTGTGAGGATGATAGAGGATCGGAGTCATAAACTGCTTTCTTGAGTAGCAACTGCTTAGCACAACTATGTAACGATAGTAAATACAGGGCTGGGAAGGTGGCTCAGTGGTAGAATGCTTGCCTAGCATGCATGAAGCCCTGGGTTCGATTCCTTAGTACCACATATACAGAAAAGGCCAGAAGTGGCGCTGTGGCTCACGTGGTAGAGCACTAGCCTTGAGCAAAAGAAACTCAGGGACAGTGCCAGGCCCTGAGTTCAATCCCCAGGACTGGCAAAAAAAAAAAAAAAAGATTAAGATAATAAATATATTTGAAAAAAAACAAAATTTCAGACAGAAAAGACCCTCAAAATATGACCTCAGATGACAAAAGAACATGATATGTGAAAGACTTAGAGAAAAGAATCTATTCATTTGTTCAACAGAAGGTAACTTTCTCTTGAGAATATCAAGTTTCCAAATTTCCTGCATTAAATATATAAAAAACATCAACATTGCCCACATGAAAGGCCATTCTGCTCTGTTTAATGAATCAGCATGAAAGCAGGTTGGAAAAGGGGAAAAGTGAGAATAGACAGAAGCACAGAACTATTTCAGCTGCCGTGTCATTGCTACAAACAGGTATGGAAATGCCCATGTACTCTGTGTACCAGTAAACCAGTCATGGAGGACACAGGGCCAAGGGTCTTTTGGGAGCCAGTGAATCCACTATGGCACTGAATGCTAGGGCAAATTAAGGCTTAATACATTATTTGGTCTGCTTTTGAAGAAGTCAATTGGAAATGGATCCTATCTACATATATACACATATGCACATATAAATCTATATGGATTATACATATTCATATACATAATTGAGTAATGTATCAACATATGTAAGTATATATATATGTATATATATATATATGTATAGATTTTATTTTTTGTCAGTTGTGGGTCTTGAACTCTAGGCCTGGGTGCTGTCCCTGAGCTTTTCAGCTCAAGACTAGCACTCTTGGGGCTGGGAAGGTGGCTCAGTGGTAGAGTGCTTGCCTTGCACGCATGAGGCCCGGGGTTCGATTCCTCAGCACCACATAAGCAAAAAGAAAAAAGCCGGAAGTGGTGCTGTGGCTCAAGTGGTAGAGTGCTAGCCTTGAGCTGGAGAGCTCAAGGGACAGTGCCCAGGCCCAGAGTTCAGGCCCCATGACTGGACCCCCACAAAAAAATAAAGACTAGCACTCTACCACTTGAGCCATAGCACCACTTCCGGTTTTCTGGTGGTTAATTAGAGATAATCACAGACTTTCTTGCCTGGGCTGGCTTTGAACCACAATCTTCAGATCTCAGCCTCCTGAGTAGCTAAGATTATAGGGGTGGGTCACTGGTGCCAAGCTGATTATATACATTTTATAAACATATTATTAATGAAACGCTATTAATGTGTCTTTGGGGAAAGTAAACTAAAGAACAACTAGAAAACTCTCATCTGAAAAGCCACTCAAAATGTTATGAATGGATGTGAATCCGAACATGTGTAATATCTGTTAATTTCTTTGTTGTGAGCTTGCTGCTCACAACAACTCTGTATGATATCACACTGAAGCTGGATTTGTCACAGTGCATATCCTCATTTCCTACCACAGCACAGTGAAACCTCTAATGGAAGTGTAGAAGTTTAACTAGTGTGTTTGGATTACGGACACGCAAAACAGCCCATCCATTGGGATGGGTGGGAGGTCTGGCTAAATGGTATTTATAGCACAAAAGAGGACTTGATTTCTGCTTTTGAAGTAAGATTTTGTTTTGAGTATAGTGGTTGGGCAGTGGGGTTAATCAGAGCATTGGGATGCTAAACCTTCATCCATGTAAACTGTTGAAGAATTCCTGTTTCCATGTGGAAAATGAGCAGTGCTCCTTGTTTGACTGGGTTTTCTTGTGTGTGTACCTTCTCACCATGAACTCCAAGATGAGAGGCCTCGGTGGTTTCATCCTCACGGTCTGAAAGCCACTACGACAGGAACCCTCTAGTTCTAGCATGAACTGGACACAATGGCACATGGCTGTTGTCTTCCCACACAAGGAGCCTAACATAGGTCGACCACACCCAGATGCTGCTCACTTCCTACTCCCAGGCAGAAAATGAGACCCCATCTCAAACATCACCAGCAAGCCAGGCTCCAAGTGGCTCAAACTTATAAGGCTAGCTACTCAGGAGGCTGAGGTCTGAAGATGAAGGCTCAAAGCCAGCCCAGGTAAACAAATCTGAGAGACTCTTATTTCCAGCAAGAAGTGAGAACTGGAGGTACAGTTCAAGTGGAAGAGTGCCAGCCATGAGGAAAGCCTGCAGCTGTGAGTTTAAGCACCCCCCCCCCACCACACACAAATATGGACTGGGAAATTTGATTGTTGACATCACCCACAGAACCTAACTTCCACTCAGCTGCATTCTCTCTAAGCAGGAAAAGGAAGTTCCAGCCCAGACAGGAGGATGACCAGTGTGTTCTCTGTCATGGCTTTGAAGTCAGGTGGTGAGGGTCTGCTACTCAACAAGAGTGGGACCATGAACAAGTCTAATCCTCAGAGTGTGCATCTATAAAACAGATGGAGCGATACTGGCCACTTCTGTGGGTGTTGTATACAACAGTCTAAAACATGTACACAAAGCCTGCTGCAGGATTCTGGGCAAAAAGTGTTCAATAAATGTTAGTAGAACAGCATTGTCACCCAACATTCCAAAGACTGATAAACAGTGACTTCCGATTTTGTTTCATTATGGCTAAAATAGATGATCATCTTCGTTTTTTGAGTTACACCCTCTTTCTGATTTCCCTATAGGAAAAAGAATATGCTAATGTACCAATCAGCCCATCCACTCTGCCTGCAGAGCTACGGTACCCCACTCATAGGTGAAGGGAAGGAGCCAGGTGTGAAAGGAGGCTGTGGAGGCATCCCCCAGTGCTATATATTGGGAGCATTTGTCAATTGTCAACTCTCCTCACTCCCACAAAGAAGAAGGTCTACTCAAATACTCAAGAATTCATCTACTCATTGAGTAAACAATCTATTCCCAATTATGTTCAGGCATCATTATTATGATTATTACTGCTATTAGTTTGTTTTCTGTTTTTACAGTGTCAGGAATGGAACTCAGGGCCTGTTCCACTAAATTACATCCTCAGCTCCAGACACAGCCGTTACTGTTGGAATGAAATGGATGAAGCTGTCTGTCCTCACAGAACCTACATTCCATCATGACGACAAGTGTGCCTAACCTAAATATCTATCATCAGTCACTTCCTCTTAGAATAAATGCAAATAACTCAGTGCATCAATCCATCCATCAATCAATACCACCGGAAATTCTACTGGGCTGGTAAAGGCTCCTGTGGGTTTTGCTGTTGTTGTTGTTGTTTTTGACAGTTATGGGTCTTGAACTCTGGGCCTGGGCGCTCTCCCTGGGCTCTTCAGCTCAAGGCTAGTGCTCTACCATTTGAGCCACAGTGTTACTTCCAGTTTTCTGGTGGTTAATTAGAGATAAGAGTCTCACAGACTTTCCTGCCTGGGCTGTCTTTGAGCTGTGATCCTCAGATCTCAGCCTCCTGAGTAGCTAGGACTATAGGTGTGAGCCATCAGTGCTCAGCTGTGTTTTTATTTTTTAATGACTTCTTTCTCTTTGACTCATCAGATCTTTGTGCCATGGAAACTGAATGCAATCTGCCTCATATATAAGGCACATGCTTATAGTTCTATTTAAGCTGAGCATGAAATTTTACTAATAAAGATGCTTATTTTTATAAGAACGTAAAATGGTAGTAATCAGCTATCACCCTAACCCCTGCTAACCAAAAATGTAATAGGAACATACTTTTTTCACATGGGGGGGTTTGTTTTACTCTTGAAGACTACAAACACTCTTCACAAATATTGGTCAAACTTTCTCTTTCCTCCCCATGGGTGGCTGACTACCCCTGGAATAGAGAATTATTTCTTTAGGGAATGTGTATTCTTTGGCTAAGACTCTCTTTCTTCCAACCACAAGCCAACAACACTAACTTTATAAAATAAGAAGGAGAACTTTCAAGTACATGCAGGTGCCATTCGTGAGAACAGCATGAACACTTCCCCAAAATGTTGGGGTAATCCAGGAAGAGACAGTGATTTGCTGGATTACCTTGTCGCTTCCAGGAAGGGGGACCGGGAAGGCTTTGAAATTCTGCACACCCATGTCCTGGTGAGTCAGTGCCTTTTACCTGGCTGCGATGAGATCCAGGAGATGCTGCCACCGGTCGTTGACCTTTCCAAGCTTGTATTCAATCTCTGAGGCTTTGCTTTCATGGCTGGCTTTCGCCAGCCGTTCTCCCATTTGCTGGAGCTGTATTTTGTTCTCTTGGGCAACAGCAATTTCCTCTTGATAATCCTGCATAATAAATAGCAATCACAGAGGTCAGAAAACATATTCTTAATGTATTCATCCAGCTCCTCTAGAAACACGATAATTACAGTTTTCTGCTGCTTGGAAGTAGTTTAGGCCCAAGGAACACCACGTAAGCATTGGTCCATGTGCACAAGAATGAGCAGGAACGATTACTTGTGGTATGTATGCAGAGTTGAATTAGGCTTTTTACAGATCTTCTTGAAGGGATTGTGCTTTCCATTTACTTAAAATAAGCAGTTAAAAAAAAAGACAAATGGCTCGGTGCTGGTGGCTCAAGCCTGTAATCCTAGCTACTTAGGAGGCTGAGATCTGAGGATCACAGTTTGAAGCTGGGCTGCACAGAAATGTCCCCGTGAGACTCTTATCTCTAAGTTACCCCTCAAAAACCAGAAGTAGTGTTGTGGCTCAAGTGGTAGAGCACTAGCCTTGAGCACAAAGAGGCTCAGGGACAGCACTTAAGCCCTGAGTTCAAGACTTGCACCTGACAAAAAAAAGCCTAATGGTATGGCTCAGTGGTAGAATGCTGGCCTAGGCTAAGCGAGGTCCTGCATTCGATCCTCAGCATCACAAAACCAAAACTAAGCAAAACATGAAGAGAACAATAAAAAAATATTTACGATGTAAGTACAAAGGGTCTAACACTGCCCAGTTGTGGTTCTAATCATTACCTGATATAGACAGGTTATAAGGCACACATACAGATCATATCATTGCAATTCACACATGTACATGTATATCAATTACATTATCTGTGCAGAAAAGTTGGCGTTGTCTATGTTTTTGATTTTGTTCTTTGACTGTTGTAGGGCTTGAACTCAGGGCCTGGTCACTGTCCCTCAGCTCTTTGACTCAGTGCTAGCTAGCATCTATTTCTTAGAGCCACAGTTCTATTTTTAGTTTTCTGGTAGTAAATAGAAGACAAGAGTCTCACCACCTTTCCTGCTCAGGCTGGCTTTGAACCATAAACCTCAGATCTCATCCTCTTGACTGGCTAGTATGATAGGCATGAGCCACCAGCTCACAGTTAGTTTCTTTATTTTAAAGAAAGAATCCCTTCACAGTGCCAATATTTGACAACACATAAGTTAATGTCAAAATAGTAGTTCTTTTATCAAATTAACAGGCCTTAGGCCTTCTTGGGCAACAGCAACCCAGTTTCTTTACTAGCTCTTTTTATATTCTGTTTTGGTTATAGAGAACAGCTGGGCATGGACCAAAGCAAAAGAGAGATGCCAAATGGAAGGGCGATCCTTCTAACTGCACAGTGAGAGACAGGACCCAGGTTTTATGCTTAATTGTTCATTTCTGGTTGAGGTTTCTGTCTTACAGCACTATCATCTCAGAAAACTAATAAATGATGAGAAGCTTGCACGAGTATGCGTATTTTTACCTTCCGTGCTCTAAAATTAGTGTCATAAAAGGGCTAGACTCCAAGTCTTTAACCTAAGCCAAAGGGAGGCCAAGGAAACTTGATCCAGGTAAATTTTGAACACTGTCTCTCTGCTGAACAGCACCACCTATCCGCCTTTTTATGGGCTTCAGAGACTAAAGCACTGGGTGAATTTATTAGTAGTTTTTCATGTTGCATCACACATCTGAGATGATTTTACTGAGAAATGTTTATTTCAAAGGCATTATTCCAAGTCTTAAAAAGCATTTAGAGTGAAACAAGCCTCTTGGGCTATCTTTTAAATGAAACTTTGTCAGTGTCGGGAGTCACTAAGATCCTTGGCTGCCATTTATCTAGCAATGTTTTCCACTGTTGTCAAAATGTTGGAACTTTTCCTTAGCAAGTCTTTTCCTTTGCTAAAGAGACACCATAAAGGAGAAAGCTCAGAACAGGCTTTTCAGTTTCAGGAACTATTTTATATATAAATTAGTAGGGTTAATATTTCAAAGAGTATTTCTTACCAAAATTACCTAAGTGGAAAGCTGAAATTTTTCCTAAAGTTTAAGTTATGGTTACATTTTGTTTAAGAGAGGTTTTCTTTCCTACACTCCCTAACTGAATTTCATGAGAAACAATGACAGGACAGACACACTTAAACAAGACAATGTAAACACACTTAGGCACAGTTGCATAAGACAGCTAGTACATTAATCTTGTCTTGTAGAACATTCTTTGATACCCAGTAACTAGCAAAGTACTCTGTTAGCTAATGCTAAAATGATATCTTTACCATTTTAGCTCAGATGGTAAAAGATTTTTCATGTCAAATGAACACATCATTCTTCAAAGAATTTGCAGCACTACATACACAGCAGACAAAATTATTAATGGTATATAATACCTCTGGAGCCTATATTTCTCTGTGTGTGAATAGATAAAGGTGAGTTTTTCCAATGAGCCTTGGTATTTCTTGTCAGAATGAATGAAATCCTACTTCCTCCAGACAGGAATTATAGACTGAGTTCTGATATAAAATCAGGCCCTGCTCTGAAATGATTGTTTGTTCAAAAATAATACAGGAACAATACTGAAATCATCCGTTTTTTTTTGTGTGTGTGTCAGTATTGGGGTTTTAGAGTCTGAATCCCCGTGTTTGCTAGGTTGGGGCTCTCACATTGTTACTTCGCCAGCCCTGATTTTGGTCTAATTATTATTTATTTTATTAAATTTTACACTATTTTTGTGTTAATACTGGGGATTTTGAACTCAGGGCTTTGGGCTTTCCCCATAGCTGGCACTCTACCACTTGAGCCATGTTTCCAGTTGCAGCTTTTTTGCTGATTAATCGAGGCTAAAACTCTCCTGGATTGGTCTTCCCTAGGGTGACTTTGAACCTTGCTCTCTAGACTTCATCCAGCCTCCAGAGTAGCAAGGATGATAAGTGTGCATCCCTGGCACCAGGCTGCTGCTTATTTCTGAAGTAAGTTCTCGCTTCCTGCCTGGGAGCATAACTAGGTGTGATCCCACCTGGGTTAGGCTCCTCATGTAGCTATGGTAATAGGTATGTGCCACTACATCCAAGTCTTCATTAACTAGTGGGTCCAATGACTTTTATTTTGTGGGGGAGGGGTGTGCCTGGGCTGACCTCAAACTGTGATCCTCCTAACCTCAGCCTCCCAAGTAGCTAGGGTGGTAGACCTGAGCCACTGGTTTTAAGTGGTAGTCAGTTTGACTGGTCCTATGAAGACATTACAAAGTATTCTGGATATACAAATCTAGATACATCTAGATAGATACCCAGACAGAAGATATCTATAGATGTCTAGAAACATAGATACCTAGAGATAAAATTTTTTCTTTTTAGGTTTTCTCTGGTGATTTTTATCTCATTAAAACCTGAAACAAACAAACAGAAACAACAATGGTAGAAAAAGTAGGCCCCATAAATGACACCAAAACTATTTTTTCACAAACTACAAATGTTCTCTAGATTTTGCATGGAAAGTAAGCCTTTTCTATGTGAGTCTAATTTACACCACAGAGATAAATTGTCCAACATACAGTGCCCCTGTAATACAGTAAATGTCAAGCCCTTATTCCATCCTGGGTGGAAACGGCCTATGCATGAGGAAGAGCAGAAACATGAGCTGCCTTGCGCCGTACCTTCCTGAGCTTCTCTATCATCTCCTCGATGAGAATGTCTCCATTCTGCGAGACTTTGCTTTCCATCTGAGTCAGCCACTCGCACAGTTCCTTGTTCTTTTCACTGAAGATTGCCCATTCGTTCAGTCGTTCACTTACTTGCTGCCGCCTTAAGGAAGCCTGGAGAGTGGAAGAGGGGAGGGCATGAAAGGGTTAATGAGAGAGGCGTCAGAGACAGAACAGTGAGGCAACAGCTCTGGACCCCTTCACGCTACTGGTTCCTCCATGTGGGACCCGCCATGGATTGCAAGTGCCATAGATTGCCATCCACAATGGACACTTCTTTTCCTCAAAGCTCACAGATGCATCAACGTACTAAATGACTTCATATAGCAACTGGTTCAGCTTCGTAGTCACACAAGACCAGAGAACACACCCCTAAAACAGAATATACTAACAAGAAGGAAGAGAAAGGAAAGAATGGATAAAGAAGGGAAAAGAAACTTACCTTCACTGGGATATAATTAATGTATCATTCATGTGCTTAAATTATACGTTTTTATACTCACAGCATGTGAAACCATCGCTAGAATTAATTTTAGAACATTTTCACTCTCCTCCCCTCCTCCCAGTAGTCATCAGCAATTACTCTCCTCTTCCTCTCCCACACCTCTTACCTCTAATCTGTTCTGTGGTGTGTGTGTGTGTGTGTGTGTGTGTGTGTGTGTGTATGTGTGTGTGTGTGTGTGTGCCAGTGCCAGGGCTTAAATTCACAACCTCTCACTCTAACTTGGCTTTGTTGCTCAAGGATGATGCTCTACCATTTGAGCTTCACCTCTACTTCCAATTCTTTGGTATTTTTCCTAATGGTTAATGGGTAGCAGAGTTGAGGGTTTTTCATAAGCCCTTTGAATATCTTCCTGGATAATACTTAACCAATCAGTTTGCTCACTTTTTAACTGAAATGACTCTTTATTACAGAGTTCTAAGATTTCTGAATCCATTCCTTGGTTTTTGATTTTATAATTCTACAAATCTCTCACTTCATAATTGTTCTTGTTTCTTGTTGCTGAGTTTCTAAAGACTGTTTCTTAGATGAGTTGAAGCACATATTAGCAAAACAAAATATTTGAGTGGTGACAAGAAAACTTAGAAAATTCTTCCACAGAACACAGTAACAATGCCAGCTACCAAAAACCCCTTCTTGTTCACTTTCTTTTGCTTCTCAATACTTCACTTTGGCAAATTTCAAACAAATAAAAATGGAATTGTATTCTAACCACCCGTGATATATAATCACCTATCTAAAGTTGTTAAAACATTTTGCTTTAATGTATAATTCTTTTATCCATCTCGCCATTTACTTTTCACACAATTTAAATGAATCTCCTTTGTTAAGATGAAAATGAAAACATTTCTCAGGTATTGTATGTGTGTCCTGATTGTGAGTGTCACCAAGGATTGTCCCTGTAACAATTATGCAGATAAAATTTAAGATTCACTGAAACCCAAATCTCTTTATTTCTTCAAGTGCGTTGGGAATGAGGCCCTGTGCCAGGCTACCTTCCCTGGGCTAACTTGAGGCCTATGAGCTGTTTAGACCATGAGTGCCACAATCAGTTTACCATACTTATTGAAATTCTGCCATTAGAAAGTCACTTCTTTGACTTAACAATGATCTTTTAAAGTAAATACATCTCTGGATTAGATATCACTGATAAATCCATCAAGGACTTTCTCTTTAGATGTACAAGTCGTTATGTCGAAAATGAACTTTACATCTTTGGTGGGGGGGGAGGATTGGATGGGAGGGGCAGGGGAGAATGGGAAGGGATGGGAAGGTGAAACAAAGGAGGAAGCTACAATGCTTGATAAGAAATGTACTCATTATCTTGCCCATGTAATTGTAACCCCTCTGTACAGTATGTTCACAATGAAAAAAGAAGAAAAAATAAATAAAAACTAAACTACAGATGGAAAAAATGTACTTTCTTTTCAATATAATTTCTTTTATCATTTAGTGTTGTTTGAGTCAGAAAAATACAGAACAGCAAAAGCTCAGCAAGCACACTTGCAGCAAAGATGGCTAACACGAGTTAAAAGGTTTGTGTGGGCTGAGAGGTGGCTCATGTGGTAGAGCACCTCCACTGCAAGCGTGCAGCCCTGAGTTCAGCCCAGTACCACCCCAGCCCCTGCTCATAGTTTCGTAGTCAAATTTCATCTTTTCTAAGCTCTACCTAGCATAGTACTGACAGCAGTCATTCAACACCCCTGTCTTCCTAAACTCTGTGATCAGAGTGCCTTGGGAATACTGAGGCTGAATTTTCTGGTGGCTATGATCTTCCCTTTCTCTAGCATGGCGGTAGTTAAAGTTCTGCCACAATGATCCTCTCTGCCATCAGTATACTGTTGCCACACATAACTGATTTCTAATACTGTTGCCACGCATAACTGATTTCTAAGAAAGGTCAAAAGTCCTTTTTAAGAAAGTCAGAGTGCCCTTCAGACTTTGGGTAAATGTGTCTTCCTCTTAGTAGCTTCCCCAAATATTAGCCATGACCTCGGGGGAAATGTGAGGGTTCCTCTTACCAACATCCACAGAAATGCTGCTGCCTGTTACTTAGAGAGGTGGTAAGCATGAGAATGACTATCCTCCCTCCAGGGACAAGGAGAGTGTCCACCGAACAAATGCAAGCCCTCTGTTGGTGCTTAGGAAGAGACAGGGTCAAGAAGCGTGAAGGCTGTGATGCAGGATGCAACAGGATGTGAAGATTCCAGATGCCCAGGCAGCTGACCCAAATCTCATTTTCATCATTCGGTGATGAGAGGAGCAAGGCAATCTTCTCCAATCCTTATTCCCTGAACTTGACACTTCATCTGCCCTCTGCCCTCCACTCAACCCCACAAAAGTCTCCACAGGAGCACGTCCTGTGTGTAGCAAACAGCATCTGTGTGTAGTGCACATGTCAAGCACCAGTCTTACATACCAGGCCACAGCAGGCAGCACCAACACATGGGAATGTCATTTAAGAAAGGAATTGGTGTGTTCTGCAGGCAGAGCTGGCCGCCGCTGTGCTGTTCCCAGCTGTTCCTGTTAGACACGACGCTATGACATCTCCTGAGCTTTTCCTCATTTTCTCTTTGGCCCTCCCATGTTCAGCACCTCCAGGAGGCACGTTTATGTATCATGCACCCCGAACACATTGCTCTCATTTGCAGAGCACGCTAACTTTAAGGAGAAGCAGGAAAATGATAAGCATAGGTATCAACCAAAGCCCAAAGCTTTGTAAGAGTGGAAATTCATATGGAGGGTAACATTTTTTTTTTGGTTTATAAATCTAATATTGAAGCTAGATATCTGTGACTATCATCATCTGTTTCTTGGCTTCCATCAAAGCCCTCCGCTGACTGTCAGCTCAACACATATTTGCATTTTCCTACCAGCACAGGAGCGGCACTGCCTCCACAGAGACAGCCGAGCAGGAAGTACATCCTTCCCTGCGGCAAACAGTTTTAGCATGACACTTTGAAGCAGAACAACAGGCAGGTACAACGAAGTTACATACTTATAGTTTAACTAGAATCGCACACCGTTCTAACCACAAAAACAGTAAGAAGATTAAGTACAGTCCACGGCTGTACAGAGGCAGGACACACCCCTTAAGCAAACCCTGTTGACTTCAACAATGGAATTCTTTGATGCATCTATTCTGCTCTTCCATGTTTACTTACAGAACACATTCCTCATGCTTGCCTGGAGTCCCAGCTACTCCTCACTTCTCCTGAACTGCTTTGGACGGAACAGAACAGATCACTTGCTGCTTAGCAGAGAGGCCTAAGCAAAGTTTTGTACTTTTCTGATGAGAGCAGGCACGGGCATATTTCCTGTTGTGGTTTCATACTTGTAGACGGTCACCGGAAACAACTAATTCAAGAGCTAGAGCTTATTCTCTTTTCCCGAGAACATTACATTGTGCTGCCTGACAAAACGCAGGGCTAAAGCCTCACAGTTCAAATAATTCAATGGAGGCTAAAATAATATGGGGTATGAATGCCTGAGGCCTCAGGCTTTTAGACTGATATAGAATCTTTCTAGAAATGCTATAGATTCATTCCATCAGCTTCCTTTTCTCCATGGTTTCAGATGATCAACAACAACTTTTCAAATGTCTTTTCAGACTCTTGTTGAGTGGATAATTTCCTAATATATGAAAGCTTATCAATTAGCAATCATGCTATTTCCATGGCATTATTACACAAGTTTCCCCAGTCAAAAGGTGCTCTACAACCAAACCCTCTTTACCTCAAATACAAAAATGTTGTCACTACTTTCTCCCTAGAGGAAGGTAAACATTAAGATGTAAACCCAGGGCTGGGAAGGTGGCTCAGTGGTAGAGCGCTTGCCTTGCATGCTTGAGGCCCTGGGTTCGATTCCTCAGCACCACATAAGCAAAAAGAAAAAAGCTAGAAATAGCACTATGGCTCAAGTGGTAGAGCACTAGCCTTGAGCTGAAGAGCTGAGGGACAGCGCTCAGACCCATCGTTCAGGCCCACGACCAGACCCCCCCCCCAAAAAAAATAAAAGATGCAAACCCAAGGCTTTGCTTTCATTATTAGCGATGCATAACAAACACTTAGGTGCTCCAGAAACTGGCTAGTCAAAGAAATGGTCTTGGCATCTAAAAGCCTCAGAGTCTTAGACCTAGATCCCAAATGTTACAATAAGAGTATATGTCACATGATGGTATAGACTGAGGAAGTACAGGGGGTGGAGCCTATTGATGGTGATGATGTCACAGGTACTGTGGCATGGGATGGGAAAGACATCAGGTTAGAAACGAAGGAAGTCAGGGTTGGAGGAGCCACGCAAGGATTTAAGGAGGGGCGTTTGTTTCAGATGCCCAGGAGACATGCCAAATTCTAACCTTGAAGTACAAAGTTTCTGAGGCATTTGTAGGCACCAGCTAACTAGAAAATTAAGTCTGTCCTAGTTTATTTCATCTAGTATATTAAAAAATAGGACAGTAAGGAGTGTTGGACTTTTTTTCAAAAGAGACACACCCAGAGTTCAAGCCCCATGACCGACAAAAAAAAAAAAATGAGAGGTGCACAAAGGAAAATAAATAATGCTGCGATAACTGCCCATTATTTATCACCACCAAATACCTTCCCTTTGTAAAATGTAAGCTATGTATGTTGAAAACATGATAGGATCTTGGTTTTGTAGTATTCTTTTTGGACCAATGAATTTTGAAATAATACTGTGTGATGAGAAATGCAACCACCCGTATGAGTAAGTTCATGTAGGTCTCTCCTTTTGTTCATTCAGACCAGGGAGCTCAAATCACTAACATGTTGATAAAGTCATCTCCCATGTCCCCTCCTCCCCTATTCTTTTTGGGTGGCACTGGAGTTTAAACTCGGGGCCTAGTGTTTGCTAAGCAGGCCCTGTATAGCTTGAGCCACAACCTCAGCTCCTTTTTGCTTTCGTTAGTTTCTAGATTACTTATATTAATTCTTATTAATTATTCTCAGTTTTGTCCACATGTGGTTTCAAACTGTGATTCTCCTCCCTGTGTTTCCCATGTAGCTGATACCACAAACTATCAAACCCAGCTTGTTTGATGAGATAGGTTCTTATTAACTTCTTGTCTAGGCTGACTTCAAATCATGATCCTCCTCGTGTCTATCTTGAGTAGCTAGGATGATAGGCATGTTCCAACATACCCAGCCTTCCCTCCATGTTTAAAGTATAGAAGACATCACCAGTATCTACCAAGTTAAATCTGTCTGTCTGCCTGCCTGCCTGCCTGCCTATCTATCTATCTATCTATCTATCTATCTATCTATCTATCTATCTATCTATCTATCTATCTATCTATCTATCTATCTATCTGTCCTATTTCTTTCTGTATATCTATTTTTGGTTTGCTGTGGAGCTTGAACTTAGAGCCTGGGTACTGTCCCTGAGCTATTTTGCTCAAGGCTAGCACTCTACCACTTGAGCCACAGCACCTCTTCCAGTTTTCTGGTGGTTAATTAGAGATAAGAGCTTCACAGACTTTCCTGCCTAGGCTGGCTTCAAAACATAATCAATCCTCAGATCTCAGCTTCCTGCATAGCTATGATTACAGGCATGAGCTATCAGCACATGGCTTCATAAAATATATTATACCAGCCAGTGAAAGAGAAATCTGTGTAGATGCCTCAAAAATATAATGTTAAGTTACAGTTATCCACATCTGAAATATTCTAGCAATGACTTTTGTCCATCCATGAGTTTGAATCCCAGAGCAGGTCCCAGTGTGGACCACTTCCCCTTTCTCCACCCAGGTGAGCTGCTCCCAGGCTAGACCTTGTCTTACCTGGCGGCACAGCTCCTCCCACTGCCTCTGCAGAAGCTCGATGCGCTCGCTAAGGATGGAGATGTCCTCGGCGCTGATGTAAGCGGAGAGAGAGTCCCTCAGGAGGGTCAGCTCCGACAAGTCTTCCATCCACGTCCCCACTGCACTTTCTAATTCCTAGAGTAAAACAAAATCCATGACTACCCGCGATCATCTACTGTCAGTGATTTGCAGTATTTTGGAATGGCCTTTCCCTCCTGCTCTTTATGATCTGCCTTATGTATTTCCTACTTGATTTGATAAACCGTCAAGGGCTTCTGGTCCCACAGCACAAGTGTTTTCAGACTCCTTCCTATCTGTTTACCATCTCAAGGATATATATTTTTCATGGCTTTTCTACAACGGAAGTTTCATCATGCATTCATCTTCTTTAAACTGATATCACAAATTCCTAACCCTTCCATTAGTCCTAAACTACTGATCACACCAATGAAACATTTTAAACAATAAAAGCCCAGAGGGAACCTTCACTCTTCTACATGAGGGCCTGCCACATTCTGCGCCATAAGACATACAATGTCACAACTGAGAAGATCTGCTACCTTTACTACTAAAGTCTAAATAACACACTGAATACATCCTCTGTTGAAGCAGCGAATTTATTTAAGTTGCTGATTATGTACTTGTCCTTTTCATGGAATGATTTAAGGGGGAAATCCTTATAATAATATTTGAATGAATTGACATTAGTTTTTGCAATGCTTTGAGGAATGACTGGTCTTGCAATTTGCGTAACTCTTGCTCTCTGCCAGCTCATTAAGAGTATGAATAGAGAATTTCACATGGGTTGTTCCTTCTCTTTTTGTCTCTTCACACCGGAGACAAGTTTCCAAAAGCAAAAGTAATTAATGGTACTGTCTGTGGCTAACTTTGCAGGCAATTTAGGCAAACAAGGTTTTAGCTTGAATTTTCAAGGTAATTGCTTTGTTTTGCTGCTGAGGGTATTTTGGGAAAGAATAGCAGAGAGTTAGACTGAAATACATCCTTTCAATCTACCAGCTCAAAAGCAGGATATTTTTCAGATATTTTGGAGAATAAAAAAATCAGGACCCATAGTAACAGCACCTGGCTGAAAGATGGAAAAGTCTACGCAAGTTAAAGGGGTGACGTTTCTCTGTATACTTTTAACTCTATTAAATTGTTATACAAACAAATATAAAGACTTTGTTTTTTTCATATCAACTTGAATACAAGATTTAGTTTATGGATTAAAAAGGAAATGCTAGCACTGGTATGGTGGTGCATTTCTGCAATCCCAGAACTCAGGGGCTGAGGCTGGACAACTGTGATTTAAAATGATCCTGAGCTAATACAGTGAGATGGAAGGAAGGAAGGAAGGAAGGAAGGGAGGGAGGGAGGGAGAGAAAGAAAGGAAGGGAGGGAGGGAGAGAAAGAAAGGAAGGAAGGAAAGAAAGACAGAGGGGGAGGGAGGGACAGAAACAGAAACAGAAAGAGAGAGAAACAAACAATTTGATAATCAGAAACCAACTATTTCTGATTCTGTCTAATACATGTCAATCTGGTTTAAAAAATAGCCTCTAAATTCAGACAACTCTGATACTTACTAAGTTTGTAAAGCTATACTTCCAGAAACTTCAATATTTTAATCTCCAAAAGAGAAATAACAGAATGACCTCATACCAACTGAAATCACACTGGTATAGTCACTAACTTGGCCAAAGAATCCTTAAAATGTCCATTCTTGGCAATCAGAAATGGTATTTTCACAACAAAAAAAGTCCAAAAAAAGAAACCTTATTTAATATTCTTCTTATAAATTTATGATCAGAGATTTAAAATAAATTCTTTTCAATTATAAGCTTCACATGCTTTTCTTTGGCAAAGATTCTCACTATGGCCTTAAAGTCATGGTTGCTCTACCTCAGTCTCCCGAGTGCTGAGATTACAAGTGTGCACTACCACAGCAGGCTACTGCCACATACTTCTTAGTGTAATACTTGCTCCAATAATTCATTCACTTAACATCCATGCTGTAAAGTATTTTACCTTCTGTCATTGCTAATTCTATCTTTGTCATGTTCTGCAAGTATCTCTGGTAAAATTTTAAGCAGTGCAGCACTACTCCAGAACAATAATGTACAAATGACTTGGAGAGCCCAAGGAAATGCAGGATTTGACTAATAGTACTGTGAAATTCCTTTTGATATGATCAGCACCCTGTTCCACAGAAAACTGCTGGTCAGGCTCTCTACCTCGCTGCACAGGTGTGCACTCAGGAAATCCTACAGCCACTAAATCATGCTGGCCCTCATGATCTCATAGTGCAGGAGCCGTCTGCATTACCTACTGACTTCCTTCCAAATAGGGTTGGAATGTTGATCACAATCTTGCAGTAGTTACAGCCCTGAGTAATTGAAGGACTGGGTGACTACTTACATTGACTAAGGTCAGCAATTTTTCCTGCTTCCTTTGCCAAAGGGTCTGCGGGGTGGGCGGCAGGGCAGGGCTCATCTCTGAGCCATGCTCATCTCGGTGCAATCCTTCTTTCTGTAGACTCGACTTCTACTAGAGTGATTGCTCCAATTGGGAAGCTTTGAAGAATTGCCAAGATTGCCCTGGGTCTGGCTTTTGAATTTTTGTTTTAATGCTATGACTTAAATGTTCTTTTGCTTCCTCTGGGTTATCTCTACACAAGTCTATAATTTCACCCACTGCAAGAAATCAGCAAGGCAAGTTGCAACCAAGAGCTGTTTGCCATAAAGGCGTCCCCCAGGGCCTCAGTCCCCCTAGGAGTCATCGCAGGCATCTGCGTGGGGACTGCCCCTGCGGGCGCTGCCCCGCATGGTACAGGGCACTGGGTGGATGGCGGGCTCATCTCCATCCAGCGCTTACCTTGCACCGTATTTGCTCCGTGTGGAGCTCGTCGTGGTGATCCGGGAGAGGCTGGGAAAGCTTCTTTTTGAAAGATCGGAGTTTCTCCAGAGAATCAGCTATTCCTTTCTCACAATTTTCCCAGTCCTAGACAGAAAGAGAAAGAAAGCGCATAGGTACAGTTTTCAGGATAAGATCCCAATTCAAATCCAATTCAGTTACTTGTTAATGGTGTGGCTTTTATAAGCACATAAAGCTCTGGTTTTTCATTTCTCCTTTAAAACTATGAATAATGCAAACTGTAGCTATTGAAGAATTGCAAGGCGGGATGTCTTAAGTGGAAAAACATATGTATCACAAGTGTTAGACCTTGACTTTGAACCCCAGTATGGCCAAAAGTAGACCAATAAAGAAACAGACTTAGCTGGACACCAGTGGCTCATGCCTCATCCCTAGCTACCCAGGAGGCTGAGATCTAAGGATCATGATTCAAAGATAGCCCAGGCAGGAAAATCCATGAGACTTTCATCTCCAATTAATCACAGAAAATGCCAAAGTGGCCCTGTGGTTCAAGTGGTAGAGTGCTAGCCTTGAGCAAAAGGAGCTCAGGGACAGTGTCTAAAAGTTTGAGCTCCAAGACCAGCAGAACAAAACAAGTTTGCCACATAATGCCAAGTTCTCCGAAGATACTGCATGGTATGTAGGCAAAGCAGCTGCTCTGAATACTGCAGATTCACTATGCATTCACAACATAAAACATGCTACAGCCAGGCACTAGTGGCTCACGCCTGTAATCCTAGCTATTCAGGAGGCTGAGATCTGAGGATCAAGGTTCAAAGCCAGCCCGGGCAGAAAGTCCGTGAGACTCTTATCTTCAATAAACCACTAGAAAACTGGAAGTGGCACTGTGGCTCAAGCGGTAGAGGGCTTGCCTTAAGCTGAAGAGCTGAGGGACAGTGCCCAGGCCCAGAGTTCAAGCCCATGAACGACAAAAAAAACCCCAAAAAACAAAAAAACAAAACATGCTACACACCGCACTGGAAAAATATGGGTACATCTGGAAATAGAATTTGGGTAGTGTTCTAGGAGAATTTCATTTTCTTCCACATACCTCAATTATTACCTGACTTTTACATGACACATATAATTCTTTTATAATTAAAAATAAAGAGAAATGAGGCAAAAGGAGTCATCATGGAGGTTGACTCTTTTCCTACAAACTGATTATCTATAGATTAACTTGTATGTGTCCCATCAATACAATTAGAAAAGATTTTCAATTGAGTAGGTCTCCTCTATATTGCCAATGTGGTCTATCCTGTCATAGTGTCTGTTCTTGGTCTTGGCCTCCCCAGTGGCCATTCCCACAGAACAATTTACTCTGCTCCAAGGAAGTCAACTGGTATGACAGCTACAGCTTGAATCAGAATAGCTAAGATGGTGGGAATCAAGTATTTTCCTTTACAATATCCTTCATTATGGTCCATCTTCTCTAGTCTGGGATCTTCCACGTTCTCTCCCGACCCATATTTTTTAACACAGCAACTCCTAGGTACTGTTCCTACACCCACATCTTATATGAATGTCTACCCAAGTCTTTCCTTACTCCAAATGGCCTTTGTTTTCTTTTTTATTCTTTTTTGTTATTTTTTTATATTGTGAAAATACCATACAGAGGGGTTACAATTATATGGGCAAGGTAATGAGTACATTTCTTATCAAGCATTGTTGCCTCCTCCTTTGTTTCCCCTTCCCATCTCCCCCCTATCACCCCTCTCCGCCAAAGTTATAAAGTTCATTTTTCGACATAACAATTTGTACATCTCATTGTTGCAATGGGTCCACCTGTATCCCTATTTAAACGATTTTTGTTTTCTAACTGCACTGATAATGGCCCTGGATTCTCTCATTCCTACTTAAATTCCCTTCATGGAATTTCCTAGAGTATGTAACGCCATTTCTCTTTTCTTGATTACAAGTAGTTAATCAACCGGAGCACCCCCCTCTCCCCTCCCCCCTGCCCCCGACCCCAGGCCAAGGAAAGAAAACACAGACCAAACCAACAGAAGGCAAAATCTTTGTCTATCGGAGCTGGGAAGGTGGCTCAGTGGTAGAGCGCTTGCTTTGCATGCTTGAGGCCCTGGGTTCGATTCCTCAGCACATAAGCAGACATAAGCAAAAAGAAAAAAGCCAGAAGTGATGCTGTGGCTCAAGTGGTAGAGCGCCAGCCTTGAGCTGAAGAGCTGAGGGACAGTGCCCAGGCCCAGAGTTCAGGCCCCACGACTGGACCCCCACCCCCAAAAAAAGTCTTTGTCTATCATGCCTCGGTTAGTTTCAATTCTACTATCTTTTACAGTATCTGTGCTTCCAGACTACAAAAATAAAATCATCAATTCATCAGTGCTCAGTGATGATGGATGGATCCTTTTTTAGGCTAAAATGATCCTCTTTCTGCTAAAATTGAACAACATCCTTGGTAAATTAGCACTTCCTGAAAGCTATCAGTACAAAGTCAATGGCCAATTATTGATTGAACACAAACAAGGTAAGCTACTTACTTTCTATGACAACATGAAAAGATGTCAGTGAATCAACAAGGAGACAGGATAAGAAATAATGGTATGTTTGGCAGACACATGTAGAATAGTAGGTTGAAAGCTAAAAATTGAGAAACTGAGGTGAGGATACCCCCAAAATGAGGCTGCATACGCACAAAACTTTGGGTTCATAAATACTTCCACAGGAAACAGGATGTAGCCTATTTATTCAGAGTAAAATATAGTCGAAGAGCAGTATACTTCTCCTTTCCTAGGGTGAGTTTGACTGTGAATTTATAACCAAGTCTTTCATTACATGAATTATAAGCAAGGAACTGCGTATCATGGTCTGCAAACATCTGTTAAAATGGATATTTTATACATGATCCAGCAGACAGACAAGCAAAGGCAGTGAGTCAGGCCTCAGAGTGGATTATGACTTGGGAATATCTCCAAAAGTCACATCACACACACACACACACACACACACACACACACACACACACACAAAAGAAAAATAGTATATGATTAACATATTCTTAATAGAGTTAGTCACAACATGTTTAAATCTCTTCCTCACAGCAAGACAAAGAAAAAAGAAATCAGATATGTTATATTACTGATAAATTCTGCTATGTACAAATAATAGTGCCTTATAGATGTCTTCTGCTAGTTTTTTGATTGATTAGTTCCTATGCAGAAAGTAATACATTTTAAATAAAATTCATAGAATGATTGCATATACTTCAAGCAACAAAAAACCCAAATATGTTCCATTAACTTGATTAATTCTCTTTGTCTAGACGACAAAGCACATTTAATAATCATCTCAAAGTATTGGTGATTGCCAACATATATAAAACCTTATAATCTGTGCTCATTTTTTACTTAGTGCTCAGTATGTGCTACATTATTTGCTGTCATGATTATTGTACTACATTTTATTAGTATACTATATTATTATACTATTAGTATACTATTATTGTATTATTAGTATATTAATTTACTATTAGTATACTACATTATACTACATTTATTACTATGTTATACTACATGTTATTATTATTTACTGTCATTATCTCATAATATTTTCACCATGGCCACATGAATGGAGGAGACAGAATTATATATCCACTGTACAGATAGAAAAAAACGAGATTTAGATAAGTTCTGCTTCTGCTAATCAAGTTGCTTGATTTAGTATGGTCTTCACTTGGGTTTATGTGAGTTTAGGGTTAGGCCCTTTTTCAAATGATTTAATGAAACTATGCTATAAAGAATGTAGTGAGAATGAGCAGCTTCTTATGGGAGATGAGGATGAACCCAGGCAAGCATTTTGCCACCACACTCCAGCTCTGATCCTACGGATAAATCTAAGATTTTCTTACTGAAAGATCAGTATTCAAATGATGTCCAACTCAGGGTTTAATATACCTCTTAGAGATTTTATTTCACAGGAACCTGCTTGGATAAACCAAGACGACTGAAGAATATCTTTTTTGGCACTGTTTTTCCTCCTGCTATAAAAATAAAAGATATCAATCTTGAAACGCATTTAGAGTCTTAAGTTAGGGAGTGGAACCTACTCATTGAATTTCGGTCTGGCTTTATAAAGTCATCACATGGTTGAAGGCTTAGCCGTGGCCATTAATCAGAAGAACTCAGAGCTTGGATGGCCTTATTAGAGTTTAAATTACTTTGCTGGGGGATTTTCCTGAAAGATAAAGCGCTAAAACTTGGAAAACTTTTCCAGTTCATGCAAGATAGGACAAAGTCTGAAGAAACAGAGGATCACAATCCTGTGAGGTATTTATTGCTCAATGATCCTGCAAGGTTGGTTTTGCAGGGAGATAAGGGAGGAAGCAGCAGAAGTATTACAAGGGCTGTTTTCCCAGCGCTTACTTTCAACAAGAAGGCCAGCTTTTTCTTCTGTGTGTCCAGACTCATGCTGGCTGACCTCCACTTCTCTTGGATTTCGGTGAGCTCGGCCTGCAGGGAGGCCTCTGCTGCGCTGTCGGCGGAGAGCAGGAGCTGCTTGGCGGCCTCCACGGTCAGGATGTAGCTTCCTTGGTGCCTCAGGAACACCTTCTCCTTGAACTGAAAGACACCACCATCATCACACCATCTTCACACCATCATCACACCACCTCCTCCCCACCACTTCCCTATTCCGTCTTTATTTTTATTTCCATACATTTTTATTTGTTTTATTATCTTTGAGTAGTTGTACAAAAAGGTTTCAATTCAAAAAACTCCGGTCTATGAGCACAATGCGTTTTAGGCAATGTTACCCCGTCCATGGTTCTCCCCCATCTTTCCCAACTCCAACTCCACCTACACCCTCATCAGATTTTTTGTGTGTGTATTCCAGTCCTGGGCCTTGAACTGCTGTCCCTGAGCTGTTTTGCTCAAGGCTAGCACTCTACCAATTGAACCACAGCTCCACTTCTGCCTTTTGGCTGGTTCATTGGAGATCAGAGTCTCATGGACTTTCTTGCTCATGCTGGGCTTTGAACCACAGTCCACAGATCTCAGCCTCCTGAGTAGCTGGAATTACAGACATGAGCCACTGGTACCCAGTGAAACAGTTTTAATTAACCCTCATATATAGCATGTACGCTTCATCAGCAAGCATTCATTTACTGAGCTGCTACATTATGTATGAATGAACAGTGTCTAAAATGAATGAGAACTCAGGGAGAGACTTCTTTTCTGCCCTCCAGTTAAATATACTCATGATACAACATGAAAATCTGTTATCTAAAAGACCAACATCCGGGGAACACAGAGGGACCCAGTGTGGGGTGGGCACGCTGAGCGTCTTCCTCAGGGTGGTAAATGCTGAATGAGAGTTTACAAAACATACAGTGTGACCCGATTAAGAAGAGATGAGTGAGCTCACACCTGTAATCCCAGCTGCTCAGGAGGCTGAGATCTGAGAATTGCAGTTCAAAGCCAGCCTGGGCAAGAAAATTCCATGAGACTCTTATCTACAATTAACTACCAAAAAGTTGGAAATGGAGCTGGAGCTCAAAGTGGGAGAGAGCAGCTAGTCTTGAATATGAAGGTCAGGGACAGTGCCCAGGTCCTACAAGCCCCAGGACACACAACCAAAGTGTGGCCTTCTGTGGCTGGAGTGAGGGACACATTCAAGACGGCAGAAGATGAGGCACAGCATGTTTTCACAGGAATTTGGGGCTTCTTGCTTGTTGTTGTTCTGTTTATTGTTCTTCTTGTTGTTCGACTTTCTGTTTGGTTTTGAGACAGTCTTGCAATGGGAGCCCAGGCTGTTTGGGAAGCTGTTGGGTCAGACACCTGAGGGCTGGGATTATAGACACTACCATTTCCAGCTAGGGATTTGGCTCTTATGGTAAATATGACAGATGCCATGAGGAATAACATGAAGCAGGAAAGGGTGATATGTTTGTACTTGAACTCAGGGCCTTTCAGTCTTGCTTGGCTTTTTCACTCAAGGCCGGTGCTCTACCACTTGAGCCACCTCCACTTCTAGCTTTTTGCTGGCCAACTGGAAATGAGACTCTCTCAGATTAGCCTTGCAACCAGGACCATCAGATCTGGAAAGCCCGAGTAGCTTCTGAATAACTAGGATTATGGGTGTGGAGAGCACCCAGCAGGATAATCTTCTTCCCCCCAATACCAGGGCTTGACCTCAGGGCCTTGTGCTCTCTCTGGTTGGTGTCTTTTTCTGCTCAAGGCTGGTACTCTTCCACTTGAGCCACACCTCCACTTCTGGATTAAAGTTTTAACATCACACTTATCAGTGGGGTAGGAAGGGGGATGGAAGGAGGCCGTGCACTGGATACGCTAAGACGGGTTAGAAGGGGCCTATCTACCCCGCAGAGAAATCCTGGGAGACTCTTGAAAGTGATGGATACAGACTTGTGTTAGATGAGACAGGGGGAGAGGCGCCAAGGGAGAGAAGAAAGAGCTCTTTGATGGCTCCCAAATTCCTACACAGATAGTCCAGAGAGCCGATGAGGACCCTTCCTTAGGCTGAGGACACAAGCTACTGGGGACGTTCGACCCAGAGCTCACAACCTTTGTGGAGAGCCACAGGGTCCAGTCCCTCTGCCATGCAGATACAAATGTGACAGGCAGTTGGATACATGGGTAAGAAACCTCAGCAGGTGAATGAATGTGACCAGAGGATTCCAACTTGCCCCATCTCTGCTAGCAGTGGCATGTGGAAGCCATTTCTGCAGAAGAGTTCACTTAGGAGAAATGAAGAGGAAGAAACCTATGCACAGGATGCTGTGTTAGAGGAAGGTGAGAGCATTTGGGGAAGGAGAGAGGTTTGTGTCTCATGAGCTGTAAGACCCCAATTCCCAGGCTGGTGAGAATATAGGGTGGCTGGGAAAAACAAAAACAAAGAGCTCATGTACCTCTAGCCCTGCTTTCTTTCCTGGAGTGCTTACTCTCAATGTGTAAACTGCTTCCAAGTCACATCCATATAATCAGTGCAAAATCTCCCTTCCTGGCCACTGCCTTGCTTTCCACACAGGGCTGCAGGCCATAGCTGTAGAAAGCGAATTGCAACACAACCGTTTTGCAGAACAACATTTGTCCTAATTCCAGGTGACTGACTCCAGTCCTGCAGAGCAGAGGTGCGGGCGATGGAGATGCAGAAAAGGGTTGAGGGACGGTGCTCACGCATCTTACCTGCACTTCATCATGGAGGGCCCTCACTTGCTGCAGTGGTATGGGGATGCTCCCCAGACCGCTCAGAGGAAGATAGGACACTTCCACCAGCCATTTCCGGAGCTTCTCCACCATCTCCCTGTAGCGTTGCCACTGGCGAATCTGGCTGTCAATGATCCCGCGCCTCTGCTGAGCCCTGCGAATCACTCCCTGCCACTGGTGACTGAGGAGCGTCAACTTCCGGTTGAACTCGTCCCTGCAGAAGAAAGAATCACACAATAAGTAACCATCATCCAGGATCAAGCTTCTTGATTAGCCAAGGTACACATTCTCTACCATCGCAAGCCAGGGGATGTGAAAGAAGACAACAAATTGCAAATACTACTTAATGATCAAGTAATCTAAAGCATTAGACTATTGGTGTTGGCAAATGGGAGACGTCTGCATGTCTCAGCATGGGTGAAAACAAATGTAGGTCAAGGTCACTGTCCTGTTGAGTGTGAGAAAGGAGAAGGACAGAGCAATCAGCTGGAACCTAGATGTGTGAGCTTCACGGTATTTCTTTGACGTTGTGAACATCTGTCAACTACAAAAATGTGGAATGTCAGAATTGGAAACATGAGAAGAGCTAGAGCATGAGAAGATCCACGCATATTGCTTTGTATTCCAAGTAAGCATCTGGGGTCTCTTTGGAGCCTTTGCTGTGTGCAATCGAGCTGTCGTAAGCTACCTGCCATCTTGGGAATATATCTCTTTTGGCCAAAGCTCTACAAAATAAACCTCACAAATTAATTTCTTGAACACAAATACATTTGTCATCTGGAACCTTCCCATTGTCAACAGACGCTAAACTGATTTTTCTTTTTTCATGTGCAACTTTTTTCATGTCCAACTCTCCCATTTTCATGTCTTTGGTGCTTTTTTTCCAAAATGTAACAGTTTAAGATTTAATAGATGTTGGCTTGTGAAGAAATTCTAAATTTTATTTTACTAAATGACTTGGGTATTTATGATATTGTTAGGGAGTTGGCTGAAGGATAGTAAAATAAAAGATGAAAGTTAATTACATTTAAAACAAAAGTTAATTGCATTTGAATTTGTTTACTTTTGAGAGCCTTAAATTTTCAGTAGACTTCACATTTAAGTCTGGCTTGCTTAGAATAGAATAAATATGACATCACATTGTATTTTTCCAAACTTAACTAAGAAAATCTTTCATGTACTTCCAAAAACATATCCACTTAAAACTAGAACTGCTTCCAAAACATGAAAAGCAAAATTTTCCATAAAACTGATTTATTTTCCTATATCTTACAAATATATTAATTATAATCCCAACTACTGTCCCGAAACGTGGGAAAAGTGTTCAAGTATAATAAAACAAGTGGGGTTAATTCTTCAGCAATAAACATGGAGACTGATGAGATAAATACAATTTCCTTTCTAGGAAATGTAAGTACCATTAAAGAAACTGCCATTTTGCATGCTGAAAAATCTAAGAGAAGAGAGACTGTGTTTGCTAGATAATTGTTCACAACAGTAAAGAGGAAGAAGTATCTCAGGTTGGATGCAGTGGATTTAAGTTGGAAAGCCATTTTCAAACATGGAGGATATAGCCCAGTCCAGGGATGCTGGATGGTGTAAATGCAGAACTGGCTACTCCCAACACAGGAGCATGAAGCTTGACTTAGTGGTCACTGAGTTCCATGACCTTGGTCAAATCTGTTCATATTTGTGGGCTCAGGTCTTTCATGTCTAAATCAGCGACCTGGACCAGTGATGTCTATGCTCCTTTGAGGATACAATTGCTGTAATTGCATGAGAATATTAGAAGCATCTGTTTACAAACCGCGCATACAATTCATTCGGATCTATTCATTAATTCCACTTCTTACCGATGACTAGCAAAGGTTGGCTAGGTGATTTCCAATTACCCTCTGTCCTTCATATCATATAATAGCAGTTCTCTACAAAGATTCAATGCTCACTCATTTCCGAGGTTTGGACAAGCCTTTCCTTCCAATTATTAAGACTCTATGATAGTACAATTGCCTTAGGAAGATTGGATAGAAGCCCTCTAATCACATTAAAAAGAAAATGACTAATTTGCTGCAACCTTTCTTCATAATAATTTATCAAAGACTTACCTGTCATCAACTTGACCTTGTTCTAGAAGACGCTGCCCATCAACAATGATTGAGTGCAGAATCTGCTGACGACTGAACATCTCAGCTTGAAACAACTATAATTGAGAGAGAGAGAGAGAGAGAGAGAGAGAGAAGAGAGAGAGCACACTTATTTAGAGTCCTTAATTAACTGAAAATTTTCTCATTTTAACAAGGTGATTAAAAAGTACTGGGATGTATGTTAAGTCTGCAGTGGAGGAATAATGTTTTTAAAAAATCATCAGTTAAGATGTAGATTTGCAATGGTGTAACTCTTAAACAACTCACTCATAGTTTAACAAAATGAATGCCAGCAAGTTGAAACCTGTGTTGTCATGAGAAGAGGAGGTCAATGGGAGAGGGGGTGGCAAGCGGAGGGGGTGGTGGGCGAATATAGTCACTCTACTTAATGTGCATATATGAAAATGGAACCCGGAAACTTGAGGGGATGTGGGGGTGGGGCGAGACAGAGGGGCATGATAGAAGGGTGGCCTTCCTCCTGATGCACCGTACTCCTAAACTGACACCTTGCATTGAAACTCTTCTGTGCAACTCCTTAAGGATAATAAAAACAGTATTAGTGGGGGCTGGGAAGGTAGCTCAGTGGTAGAGCGCTTGCCTCGCATGCATGAGGCCCTGGGTTCGATTCCTCAGCACCACATAAGCAAAAAGAAAAAAAAAGCTGGAAGTGGCGCTGTGGCTCAAGTGGTAGAGCGCTAGCCTTGAGCTGAAGAGCTGAGGGACAGCGCCCAGACCCAGAGGTCAGGCCCCACGACCGGACCTCCCCCCCCAAAAAAAATAAATAAATAAAAACAGTATTAAATGAGCCAGACTGAAAGGAAAGTCTGGTTAGGAATTTATAAAACTAAGTGACTAAAAGTGAACCAAGTATGCTTACCTGTCCATCTTTTCTTTCAAAAGCAAGGAATGAGTAAGTTAATGTACAAATTTGTGTTCTGATTTTTTTTTGTCCACGCTGTTTTTCAACGTAACTAGGTTAGTAAAATTATTTCTCTAATAAAGAAATAATGGCTCAGTGTGGTAAATCTCCTGCTACTAAAGCATGAGATGCTGAGACCTATGGCGAACAGTGAAGAAATTAGTCAAAATAATAAATTAAAAATAAATTAGAAAGTCTCTTAAATCATTTCTGACTTTTTCCTTTGAGATGGATGGGCGCTTACTTTGAGCAGGCTGACCATGATCTCCCAGGTTCGTGAAGTCCTCCTGCCTCCCCTATCTGAGTAGCAGAGACAACTGCATCAGCCACCCTGCAAACGGCCTTACTGCAGTATAACTCACCTGCCATTCGATCCACACAATTCACGTGTCTGATTTGGGCTAGAGGTGTAATTCAAGTGGTAGAGCATTTGTCCAGCAAGCATGAGACCCTGACTACAAACCCTAGTACTGCCAGATAATAATAAATAAGAAATAAAGGCTGAATTTAATAGTCTTAATTCTATTTCCTACTTGTACAACCATCATCATGTTTCAATTATGGAACATTTTCACCAGGCCCCAAACAAACTCTGGGCTCATTACTAACCATTCCCTATTCCCTCTCAATGACCACCTGAGCAAATACTCCTCTCTGTGTCTCTACGCCTGGATTGCCGAATCCAGGTGTTTCACCTAAGTAGAATCATGCAACATGTCGTCACTTGGGACTTTTTTTTTTTTTGGGTCCGGTCGTGGGGCCTGAACTCTGGGCCTGGGTGCTGTTCCTCAGCTCTTCAGCTCAAGGCTAGCACTCTACCACTTGAGCCACAGCGCCACTTCCGGCTTTTTTTCTTTTTGCTTATGTGGTGCTGAGGAATCGAACCCAGGGCCTCAGGCATGCAAGGCAAGCGCTCTACCACTGAGCCACCTTCCCAGCCCCTTGGGACTTTTTTACTTGGGGTCATATTCTCAAGGCTTAGCCACATTACAGTGTGTACAAGTGTATGATTCCCTTTTAGGGCTGAATTATATTCCATTAATTGGTAGCATTTGTTTGTTTTTGCTTTGTTTGGAGACAGGGTGTCACAGTAGAGCCCAGGCTAGCCTCAAACTATCTATTCTCCTGACTCAAGAGCTGGCCTTATAGGTATGCACTACTATGCCTACTTCATAAAATATCATTTATCCATTCATCAGTTGGTGGACATCTGAATTGCTTCCATGTTTGCCTACTATCATTTATAACATTATGAAGAATGTGAACAGTGCACTTGAATAAGGTTTTGAGTGGACTTGTGCTTATTCATCTTGAGGCTATAATAACATATAAATAAAGACACACACATATATATATGTATACACTCATACACACATGTATACAAACATATACTCATATATATGTACACATACATATTAATTTAAATGTATATATACTCATATATATGTATACATACATATTAATTTAAATGTATACACTCATATATATATACCCATATATATACATATATATAGTCATATCTATATAGGTATGAACATAAAGAAGGGGTGGGACTTCTAGGTTTCTTGGTAATTGGTTGAGCACTTTGAGGAACTGACAAAGTATCTTTCAAAGTAGACTTTTCCATTCTGCATTCCCATCAGCAGCAGTTCTCTATTTCCCCTGTCACCATCCCAGTGGGCATGAATTGGGCCTCATAATGGTCCCTCATTGGTCAATTCAGAACAATTAGATCTAACGATATCTTACAATTTTTTAGTTCCTTTTAAAAAATGCAGCAAAATGATTTAGCCAGTATTTATTAGTCATGCTCTGGTTCATATTTTTCTCCACTCTTGGATAAGTCTTTTATCTCCAGTTCATGTATTTCATTGTCTCTCTGTCTCTGTCTCTCTGTCTCTGTCTCTCTCTCTCTCGCTCTGTCTTTTCTTTTGTTTGGAAGTCCTGGTCGTTGGAATCTAGGTTTCCACAGGTGCTTTCCCATTAAAATTCAATTTTATCAAAAGGTATACCTAGAGATATTTGATAATTTGATTTTCTGGTATACCATTCATATTTACTTTTTAAAAGAACAAACAATATTCCTATACCAAAGACTTTGCTTTTAATCAAAGTATAGTCTCTAAAGTGATTAACCTTAAACCACATAACTCTCTCCACTCCTTCTTCCCTTCCCCAGGAAGTAGCTTTGAACCCCAATTCAGGCACGACTCATTGCATTGTGTTATTGATGGCAGCCAGCCATGAATGAATAAGTATGAATGAGTACAAAGAAGAGAACTGGACCAATTGTAACTAAGGCTTCACAATCTCAGGCTCACGCAAGGAAGCAGAAATGACACACCTGGTTGAGCAGGCAGGGAGCAATATTTTGTATTTCCTGCATGACGTTTGACGAGGTCTTGAAAAGCTCCTTCACTTTTCTTGTTATCCTGAAGGCTACTAACAGAACTCACCTCATGTGCTCTCTGCTGTTCCAGAAGATGCTGGAAATTGCCAGAAATCTCCACTGCTAATTTTTTCTCTGTTTGAACCAGGAATTCCATCCATGTTTCACATTTTTCCAGGAAAGTCTGATGCTGTAGCAGAAATGACTGCAACTTGCTGACCAGGACAAAGGAACCAGGAATGACAATTTATTTTTCCTCCTATCTCTGGCGTATAAAACTAGACTAAATATTTTCCACCTCCAATCCTATGAACCACAACAAAGTATTCATGTTGACAAACATAAGCTTTTTTAAAAAGCTTAAAAAGTAAAAAGTTTACAATATTACATTTTTAAATGATGCAAATTATGTACATCCTTGGAATATAATCTTACTTAAAAGCAAGCAGAGCTCAAGCTCTTGAGTTCAAGCCCTAAATTGTATACAAATAAACAACAAAAACACCATATACTCGTGTATATGTTTAATAAACACTGGTAAATTATTTTATTATTTGAGTTTCCACTTTCAGTTCAAACACTGTCAGTTCCTGGGAGGTCTTAGAATTTAAAAATATATAAAATTCTATTCTATTTATATGCTGTAGTTGGAAGTATCCCCGTCAAAAACTAGAACTGATATTTAATGTCCAATGAGCTAGTAGTATGAATAGAGTTTTCAGAGTTGATTAGACCCTGAGGATTCTCCATTCATGAATGGTGTTAAACTATTGGCTCTCTAGTCCTTTAGCTTTCTTCCATGTGAGGCTTTTTTTCTTTTCTCCTTCTTTCTCTCTCTTTCTTTTTTTTCTTATTTTCTTTCCTTTTGTTGGTAATAGGGCTTGAACTCTGAGCCTGGGCATTGTCCACCCAAGGCTAGTGCGCTAAACTATAAGCCATAGCTCTTCATCCAGTTTTCTGATGGTTAAATGGACTGGCTTTGGACAGTGATCCTCAAATCTCAGCCTCCTGAGTAGCTAGGATTACAGGCCTGAACCACCAGTGCTCAGCTAAAGGGTTTCTCCTTTCTGGAGAATAGAGAAGAAGACTCCATCTTGGAGGCAGAAATTAACCCTCACTAAACAACCAAATCTGCTGAAAACTTGACCTTGGACTTCCTTGACCCCAGTACTATGACAACATGAATTTCTTTTCTTTTTTAGCAGCCCAGTCTTTGGTGCTTTGTCACAGCAGAACTAAACAAAGGCAACTGGAGTAAATCACCAAAGTATCTTCTTTACCTAAATCTCTCTGTGGTCTGCGAAGAGACCAGAGACCAGTGGCGGTTCAGATTCTGCATCCTTTTGATTTCCTTATCGTTCAGGGGTAGCCGGTATCCCAGCTCATTGAGGCGGTCTAAGTCTGGAGCCATGCTGCTGAATTTTAACATCTGTCCCTGTAAGTAAGAGGAGCAGGGCTGGATTAAGAGAAATAAGCAGAAAAAGGCACAGTGAATGCACACAGTGAATCCCTGATTTCAGGAAGAAGTGGCTTGGTGGTCTGCCATGCATATGTGGACTACTTACAATCTCCAGAGAACAAATTCAGATCCGCTGACTCCCCTCTTCAGCTCACACTGACACCAGGTTACCCAGTGTCTTTTGCTGGGTGCTAGCGGTTTGCATGTATCTTCGATTACCACGCTCTATTTACTCAGCTAAAAATCCTGATGATGACCTGATATTTAATGCACCCATTCTGATCTGCTTCCTTCTTATTCAACAACATAGCTCTTATTACAACCAAACAACACTGTGGCAGATTTACAAATAATCTGTCGTTTTATCCCCAAAACAATCCCAACATGTAAATTCCACTGTTCTTTTTCCCCCCTCCCCCAAATATTTTTGTTCACACATGAACACAAAACTGTATGAAAATCTGTTCATGGAAACAGTACGTCTAGTATCAAAACCTAAACAGAAGAATTAAGTTCAATGGAGGACTGTGACATCCTTGAAACAGTAAGTTAGCAGTGTATGGATGAACCAGAGGAAATAGCATGGTATAAATAATATCTATACTTTAACAAATGCTTTAGTAAATGACAAATGGGACTGTAAAATGCTGAAAAACATTTGAATATATTATACACGAAGAACAGAAAAAAATGATTTGAATTTGGTTTTATATGTTGTGAATATTTGCATCTTCCAAAGTAACACATGATAAATTCATTTTGGAAACACCAATAAATTAATAGGTAAAAAGCTCAAGAAAAGCCTAATGGAAGTCTAACAGGAAAAAAAGAGGACTGAGATGAAGTAAATGGCCACATGGTGAAGGGTAGAGGAAGAAGCTGTGGTTGGGCTCTTGCTAGCTAGAGGACAATTTCACTGGAGGCTCGAAACAACCTCTCATTCTCTTAAGAGCTTCTGCTTTAGGTCCTTGTCTCCAATCTCAATGTTGGTGCTCAACCAGCAGAGCAGTCTGTGGTTTCTGACCCCTTCCTCCTCCCGCGGGAGACAAAGCTGTCAGCTCCGCCCCTGCTCAGGTGTGTTCTCATCTCTATCTTGGAAGCTGGCTAGAGGAAGGAGAAACCATCAGAGACCTCTGCCTCAGTGTGTGCTTCTCTCTGAACACTTTCTGCAAAAGGCTCAGACCCCTAATGGAGAAATGGAAGCTTCTCACTGACAAAAGCCGAACTCAATCTAGATGGTCAGGTTTTCATGAGGGGAGAAACACCCTGGCCTTTCTGCTGGTGCATTTACAGGGAGACACACACAGTAGGCATGGAGGACTCATAGGAACGTATCTGAACAGGATACAGCAGGATAGAAAGATGATAGATTACTTTTATGAGAATGTGTCGCTGGCAAGCAAGGTCTGCCCTGGACATGTGGTAGAGGCTCTCCCACGAGAGAGACTGTGAACAGCATGGCCAGAGGCTTACCCTCTTCAGAGGAGAGGGGTCTGAGGGTACAGGAAAGGAGAAACACCAAAAGCCCCAAGCTGCAAAGCAATGTGGCAGGAAGGGGAGGCGGACAGCACTCAGGAAGAGCAGCCCAGATAAGGTGGGGAGCAGGCGGTGCTGGCCTCCGCTGGCTACCTGGGTCTTTATTACCAACTAAAGGGAACCCCTGGAGGGCGACCCACCGGGACCCGTGATAAAGTGCATATGATTTATTTTATGTATTGTGTCGATTTAAAAATAGTTCATAATTTAGCAAAACCTTTTTTTTTCTTTTTAAAAAGTTATTAGTATTCTTCTTTTGGCAGTAGTAGAGTTCGAACTCAGGGCCTCAGGCTTGCTAGACAGGCACGCTACCATTTTAGCCACTCCTCTAGTCTCGATGTTATTAATACTGTTCAAAGACAAATCATGATTTTATATGTATGTATATATAAATATATTAAATATAAATAAAATATATAGATATATAATAAATATATAACATAATACCTGTATAAACATTTGATTGTATATAAATATATAATAAATATATATAATAAATAGCGAATACATATGAATATATTAATATAATAAATAAAATGCATAAAATATAATATATATAATTATAGTTATAAGGTACAATGTGATGTCTTAGTGTATGGCTACAAAACGAAATGCCTGGATAAAAGTAACTGAGTAATACTTGTTGGACAATGATCATTCTGGCAGGGGTTGAGGATGGAGGAGGGACCACACGGGAGGCTGTGTGGTCAGACAGATGGGGCAGGTTCCACTGGGAGTGAAGGGCGCTAGAGATGGAGCTACAGAGGTAATGATGCAGGTAGTGAGGGGCTGGGCCAGGGGCTGCCTGGAGGTGTGAGATGGTTTCTAGGGCACAGCAAATGGCTACTGCTGGTGGCCAACACACAGTTCTTTGCTTTCAGCCGGCAGAGCTGAGCGAGTTGCATGGAGCCAGAGAGGAAGAAGGTCTAAACACGCCCGTGGCGGGTTGTTCTTATCATTCTGAGGAGAGAAGATGGAGAGCTGGGATGAGGGTGTGCGCGCACCTACCTTCAGCTCCCCCATCCTTCCCTGGATGGTGGAGAGGTCTGCTGAGTGGCTGGGGTCCTGTGCTTGAAGCGTCTCCTCCGCCTCCACAGTCCAGCCCTCCAGAGCCGCTAGACTCTCCGCAAAGGTTTCGTAGTCAACAACTCCAGCCTTTGTTACACAAGGAAACAGAGATCTGACTGAGATGAACGTTTTAATGAAATATGGCAAAAAAAAGCACATAGATAAGGAAATTGCTTTTGCAATCTTGTATGGACTGGCCATTTGCAGGATACTGTTCCTAAAAGAACAAGGTGAGGATGGTATAAATTTTCTTTTCCCCACTGATATAATTTGTCTAAAGGGTAAGCATTATTTCTTCCTGCCATTGACAGCCAAGTAAAGTTATTCTGAAATACATTGTGAAATGTCTTTATAGTGCTTATAAAAAGCTGTTAAGGAAATACGTGCATGTTGATATGAATAGTGAAGCCACTCAGGATTTTGTAAGTTGGACAGACCATGGAGGCAGGCATAAAATCACTTCTCCAAAGCGATTTTAGCATGCTGCTGTAGAGAATAAGCCAGCTCTGCCCCATCCCCACGGCCCCCGTGTTTGTCTGTGCTCTGCTCTTGAAGGAGCTTAGGCTCACTGATGAATACTCTGTGTCCTGTGTCTATGTCTGACGTCACGAAACAGCCCTTAGCTAACACACCCTGACCGTGAGCTGGGTACCTGCAGCGTCTTCTGCTGCTTGTCCAGGGCCTGCTCCAGGGCACGCAATTGCTGACTCAAGCACAGATGGTCGGACTGGATGGCTGCGGAGGCTGAGGGATCCACTTGCTGCTTGAGTTGCTCTCCCAGCTCTTGGAGAACGAAAAGGGAATCCTTGGTTGTCCCTAGTCCTTTGAGGAGGTCCTACAGGAGAAGAGAAGATACCATCACAAAACGAGGTGGTAAGTATACTCTTCAGTACCATCAATAAAGGGCAAAGGAACACACATGTAGATATGACAGGCAATTCTTTCCCTTCTTTTGTTTTTGAGACACACTCTGACTATGTAGTCCAAGATGGCCTCAAACTCATGACCCTTCTGTCTCTTCCTCCTAAGGGTCGGGATTGAACTCATGTGCCACCACACGTGGCTATATATACACAATTCTGTTATTCTTTGCCTATACAGGGAATTGGCTTAAAGGCTTCATTCTTGCTTAGATTGCTTGCTCAGATGGTGCTCTACCACTTGAGCTAAGCCTTCAACATGAATTTTTGCTGGTTATATTAGAGATGGAGTCTGGTGGACTTTCCTGCCTGGCTGATTTTGAACTGCAGTCCTCCAGACCTCTGCCTCTTAAGTACACAGGATTATGTGTGAGCCAGCAAAACCTGACAACGTAGAAATTCTTATCAAATTATTACAGTAAAAAAACACCTGCAGGAAAAAAAGATTCAGAATTGAATCTAATTTTCTAGAGCCATTAACTGTATGTGTAAATACTTTAAATAACATTACAAACTACACACACACACACACACACACACACACACACGCACATACACACATGTATATAAGTACTCTTCTGATAATAAAAGCCACACCCGGTTCATGATGAAGACTGGAAAAATGTTGAAAATCAAAAAGCAAAAACAACAATTTTCCAAGATTCATAAGGGAAGCCAATAATTGTCAACATTTGGGCATTTTTCTCCTCTTTATAAGTTTCCTCTTTACAACTGGCTATAAAGAAGAAAAATATTCGAATCCAATTGAAGATTCTATGCTCTGCTTTACATTTTTATACTTATTTTTTGCTTCAGGCACCAGGGGTTAGTTTGACCATGCTATGTTCTGTATGTGTTGTCACATTCCTGCAGTTATTTTAACCTCTAGGGTCAGGGAGGTGTAAAATCCAGGGATGAGTCAGGCGTCCTGGTAAGAGTTGTCCACAACTCCATTTTCCCACATGGCATCTCTGACTTTCTCATATGCTCAAAATTCTAAGCCAATGTGAAGTCTTACTTCTGGTTTCTAAGCAACATGAGGAGTAGAACAGGATTGCTACTTCTGCCGTAGTGCTGGGACCTTCCTGGATAAGCTAGAGGGTACAGATCTGATAGCAGAGTGACTTTCAGTAGAGACAAACACAGAGGGCAACTTGTGCCTCTGGAATATTAAAAATGTCAGGTCTTGTAAAGATAAACTATGTGGGTACAAATGTGATGATGGTTAATATAACTATTAACCTTTAGCTTTAAAGTGATTGTGCAGTTTTTGTAAGAGGATCTTTGTAACACATTCATTACAGAAAAACAAATAAGGATAAATATTAAGAACTGGTAATGGGTGAAAGCCTTTCTTGAAAACTGTAAGTAGGTTACTGGCAAAAGAGAATTATTTAAGAGCTATTAAAAAGTATTACACTGTTAAATTGAGAGAGGTAAACTTCTTTCTCCCAGTAAATTCTTTAATGAAACTATTATGTTGATGCTTACACCACAGATAACAAATCTAAGTAGGCTTTTAAAAGATGTATTATTTCCCATGTAGTCACTTCCTATATTGACCATCCCAATTAAAGCACATAACCCAAAACTGTCACTTGGATTATATATATTCCATGAGGGGAGAAAAAAAGAGAAAAGCGGCTCATCTCTCAAAATGAAAGCATCGGTGAGGACCTCACAACTCTTTTTTTTTTTTTTGGGTCCGGTCATGGGGCCTGAACTCTGGGCCTGAGCGCTGTCCTTCAGCTCTTCAGCTCAAGGCTAGCACTCTACCACTTGAGCCATAGCGCCACTTCCGGCTTTTTTCTTTTTGCTTATGTGGTGCTGAGGAATCGAACCCAGGGCCTCAGGCATGCGAGGCAAGCACTCTACCACTGTGCCACCTTCCCAGCCCCCCTCACAACTCTTTTGGGAAGCCGTGCCCTGTCATTCATAGAACAATCATTTCTGGATGCCTGGCTCACATATGGAGAATCACCCAAAGCTCACACACATCAGAGCCAGGCCTGGTAAGTTTGCAGAACTGAAGAACGGCATGGTTGGGGGACCACGAGGGTTCCTGCACGTACATTGCAATCTTGAATCCACGTAGCGACTTCATCATCAGCGATGTCGCTGTGAGTGGCCGCCTTTAGCAGGGCCTTGGTTTGAGTCTCCTGCTGCTGAAGGGCCGCGGCGCACTGCTTGGAGTAGTCTCGGTATCTCTGCCAGAGGTGTAGGAGGGCCTTGCTGGAGTGCAGCTGCTCCGCGGTCTCTTCCAGCAAGTCATTCCATCTGGAAGTAATAGGCAACACTCATGGGCAGATGAGCCTCTCTCACAAAATGCTGTTATTTACTATTTTATTTTTCACGATCCTGGTTCATGGAAATATGGAAATAATGTAGACTGACTCACTCCAACTTCACATAATAAAACATCGCCAAGTCACAATCGTATCTCAAGGGTAGATGATAGGGGAAGAGGGCAGGCCCCAGCTAAGGGACATTTCTAATTCTTCCTAAATGCATTCACTCCCAATAATGTTAGAAACAGTTTGGGAAAACCATTACATTAACAGAGTAGAATTCACCACAAGGCTCAAATTTGGAATGTCAGAAAATCTTAAGTTCCATCCTATCTATCATGAGGTTATGTCTGTCATGTGTATAATTAAATTCAGCCATATTACCATGACAGTTCTATCACATTTACCATTTTCGTTCTATCATAATTGACAACGTATATATAATGTACAAAGCGAACATACTTCATACCTCATATTGACATCTTTCAGTGTATTGGTGAGCGTTTCTGTCACCGGTGGGTGACATTCTTTTAATAACTGGTTGGTGATGGAGCCAAATTTCTCTAAGTTCTTTTCCTGTTTTTCTAGCTCATCATGAAGGTTCTAATCAAAGGGGGAAAAAAATCACAGATGACATACCAGGTTTAAACTCAGAAATTTAACACACGAATTTCAGAGTTTACACAGTGATTATATACATGTATGGATTTAAGAATTCACACAGTTATTATACACATGCATGGATTTACTCCATGGTCTCACAAAACTTTGAAAAGAAATAATTTCTGTTCTTTTTATGATTATGAGAGGAGATTCTCAGTGATGGAGTTTTCCTGTGACACCTGAGCCTCTTCTGGAGAAATAGAGGAATGCACATCTGTGGTGGTAGTACATGTACCAGCAGTTACACTGTGGTTCTCTTGGATGCTCAAAGCCAAAAGCCAGGTCTCTATTACACATCTGGATGACTCTCCACTAAGTCTTCGTAATTAAATCCCTAGTTCATAGTTCTATTGCTAAGTTCTATCTCTACACCAAGAATATTTAAGGCTGTTTTTAATTCATAGGAAACAACTATGTATGTGGAATGATCCAGCTAATTATCCTATCACCTAATAGCCTCATCAACATTTGTCTATCAAAGTCAAAATTATAGAAGTCCAGGGAAGGGAGGTGGGAGCGAGAAGCTTATCAAGGAGTAGAGCCTGCCAGATGGGAGAATAGAATAGGCTTTAGTGATCTCTTGCACAGATCGGCAACTATAAATAACAACAATGTCTTTCATATTTCACATTAAAGTAAAGAATCTTTTATTAGACAAGCTTGGTAGAATCTCCCATTGTGGACCAGAAAGGGAACTGGAAAGAGACATTTCCCTGGACAATCCAATGAAAGGATCAACACATTGGTGAAACGCCACAGGCAAACGAGGTTGCCAAAACCGAGTGTCATTTATACCAACGTCTAATGACCCTCAATTCAAAATATTCAAGAAACGTCTCTCTGTCTTCACCTAGCAAGGCAATGTGCAGGAATTAAACCCACAGTACATTAATAAAAAAGCATTCCTAACCTCCTCAGAATAATAAAATATCTTTTAAATTTTACTATGTTCAAAATGAGGGTTTTTTAAAAATTGCTTTATTTGAGGCTTTTAAAACATTGGCTTCCATCAGCTATATGAGGGAGAATTTTATTGTTACATTTCCCACATGTGTAATGCTGTTTTCTAATCCATTTCAGCTCCTTGATCACACTCCCTGCTCCCCTTCCTTTAAGAGACGGTATCCCCGCAGATTTCCTTATTCTCTTTTCATCGTTGTGAATAGTCTAGTTTACCATTATTCCAATCTTCCCTCTCCTCCTCATAGGCATCCCTCAAGCAAAATGAATTATAATGATTCTTACTTATCTGCAACAACCATTTGGAGAAATTACTTTTACACATTACCCATTTCATCCTTCCTTCTCTCCACCCTTCCCCAAAAGACATCCTCTTAAGAACGTCTGTACATACAGTTAGCAACACATCCACAGGGATGGTCAAGCCAGTGAAGGAGGCTACAAGTATATGCACTGGGCATGCGCTGTGTCCTCGCCAGCCTCCCAGCTCTCTAGGACCCAACTGCCCCACCCACGATGTGCATTATTTAACCAGGAAGAAAGAGCAGTGGCAGGTAAGCATGTCCCAAGGCCCAGATGAGCAGGGGTGTGAGGGCAGCAGAGAATTGAGGACAGTGGCCTGCGAAGGAAGAGAGCCCTGTGCTTAGGAAAGAGAGGAGTGATTGTATCACAGACGAACGCTATGTAGCCAAGCTGTGTGTTGGGAAAGAGTTGGTAAGCACACACACAGACCCCTGGGGGGGGGGGGGGGTGAAGCAAAGCAAGCTCAAGGCCTGGAACATTTACCACTTTGGCTATTTTTCTCTTTATTTTCTTTTGAATCCCTCAGAGTGTGTTTGGAGAAGCAAGATAAACAGGAAAGGAGGAAGAAGACGGAAAGCATGGTGATAATGAGTCCCAGAAAGTGAACCTGGGTATAAAGTCATTTCACAAAACACATTTATGAGGACATAACAGGACATCAAACCCCACTGTATTACAGACCAGCTAGCCCAGCATTTGGTCCTCATAGGCAGGTAACATTAATTGTAAACATTCCGAAAAGAATCGAGTGTAAACAAGAAAGTGCAATAGGTCGCGACGATGGTCCGGCTTGCTAAGTTTCCCATGTTTCTCCGAGTAACGCGGATATTGATGGTGTTCACCTCTTACCTGCAGATTGTCTACCTGAACCTGCACTGCTTCTGAGGACCCGGTGAGCAGACGGAAACGGGACAGGGAGTACCTGGCCTCCATCAGGTGGCCGTTGATCTCATCCAGCGTGGCCTTGTGGCGGTTCCACTGGTCGAGCACTGACCTCAGCAAGACCTTTAACTGCCCCACCTGTCCAAAACCACGCACACCTGTTACCACTGCACGATCCGATAGATACACACAGACATACAGGGATGTATACACACATATATACTACACAAGGGAAGTGAGCATGTTGAATAAAACAAGTAATATACTACATGAACTTTTTCACAATTCTAGGAATCAAACCCAAGGCTTTGCACATGCCAGGTAAAATGCTCTGTCACTGGGCTAGGCCTACAGCCCATAAAATGAGTTTTTCAAATGCCTTAACTCATTCAACCCTTAGCAACCTAGTAAGGTAGGTATATCTTTATTCCCATATTATACATGAGGAAACTGAAGTACTAAGGAATAATGAAAATGAGATAAGATTGGGCTGGAAAGTGGCTTAGTGGGTAGAGTGCTTGCCTAGCATGCATGAAGCCCTGGGTTTGATTCCTCAGTTCCACATACACAGAAAAAGCCGGAAGTGACACTGTGGCTTAAGTGACAGAGTGCTAGCCTTGAGCAAAAAGAAGTTCAAGGACAGTGCCCAGTGCCCTGAGTTCAAGCCCCAGGACTGGCAAAAGAAAAATGATCTAAGATCACACTAAAAGGTAAAGAAAACAAAAGATCATGCTGTTAGAATGTATAAGAACATTGGAACCAAAGTGGTTGAGAATGAAATATACCTACATCTACATTCGTGTCTACCATCTATTTATATTGCTGTATCTATGTGTTCTCTGTTTGTATCTCTATGTCTATATCTTAGTTCACATGTTTGCACATAATCGCTCACATGCTCAAATGACTACGTAAAGACAAAACAGCCAAGAGAATTCCTTTCATCACCTGCATCACAAACATTTTTACTTTGGTTGATATCACTCTGCTTTCACTGTATTTGATGTTGGCATAATTTGTGGAGGGGAAGGGAAAAAACAAATTGTTTAAACAGGGATACAGGTGACCCATTGCAACAATGAGATGTACAAGTCATTATGTTGAAAAACAAACTTTACAGCTTTGGCGGGGGGGGGGGAGGGGAGGAGATGGGCATGGAGGGCAAGATGGGAAGGGGAAACACAGGAGGAGGCAACAATGCTTGATAAGAAATGTACTCATTATCTTGCCCATGTAATTGCAACCCCTCTGTATGGTATTTTCACAATAAAAATAAATAAATAAGTACAAAGGGAAAAAAAAGCTCTCTAGTTTGCTGGATTTCACCACTAATCTAAATGCAATTCTTTTATATATGGAGAGAGCATGGCCATGATTAGGGGAAGAGATTACATAAGTTAATTTGCATCTGCCTTCCTTGCTTTTCTTCCTTGTATGGAGGAAAAGTGTTGCAAGCAACTGAGCTGCCATCTGAGGGACCACTGGACGAAGCACGTGCTCCTGTCCACTCCAGTGGGCACCAGGACCAACCACACAACCAAAATCAGGAGCCAGGCAGGCAGATAAGCCAAGGAGATTGATGAACACTTTCCAATATCATTTGTTTCCCATAAGGCAACATTTCCATGAGAGAACTATTCATTTATACTTATATGGTATTGTCTCTAGCCCTCTGTGGTGATTGATGAAAACACATAAAATAAATCTCAAGTCAGGTAGAAGATAGGCTAGAACAGAGTCTGGAGAAGAGAGCATGGGCAGCTGGAGCTGTTTGCTGGGGGCCCTGGCTCACACACTTGTCTTCAATTCCAAAGGCTTAGACGTGGGTGCTATCTACATGGAAGTGGGATGGCTGCTGGATTCTAGTCTCTTCTGAGTACAACTGCCTTGATTTCCTCATAGATTATATGCGGGGCAGGAGAGAAACAGAGGAACGAAAAGTGTCTCTAAGGTTATGCCCATGATGGTAGGAAGAGCATGGGACATTGGGAGTGAAGATTCAGAGCAGGTTTGGGCATGGGTATTTAAGATATTTGTTGGTTCTACAGGAGAAGATGTCTACCCACTGTGTTTCTTTGTCTCTGTGTTTAAGAATTCAGTAGAGAACTCAACACTAAGGATAACCAATTAGAAACATATCTGTGCCTAGATGGCATCTATAGCTATGTGTATGGGTGGAATTATTAAGAGTGATGTTTATAATAATGTTTTTATAAGAAACACCAGAAGCTAGACATGTTTTTTTAAAGAAGGTAATAGAATAGACATAACAATACAAACAGATGATGTATATTTGACAATTGTTTACTCAGTTACTTGAAGAAAGCCAAACCTCAGCATGTGTCAACAAGAGCTGGCAAAGTGTCTAAGAGCAAAATTACCATGTGGTCCAAATTTGCCCAGGCTTGGTTGAGTTCCTGAAGCGTGCTCCTGACTGTGCCAGAGACTTCTTCTTTCTTGTTCTGAATCAAAGCAAGTCCATTCTGCTCAATTTTCTCTATTTCTTTTTCTTTTGCTTTAATCAAATCTTCCAGATCCTGAAAGATTTAAGAAAAAATTGTCACTTTAAATTGTCCTATTATGAAACTCTAGGGTGCACTGAAATTGAGCCATTAGTTTCACATACTAAAAATCTGCTACTAATCCAAAAGAAAAATATCCTTCTTAAAAGAGGATTTCAACAGCAATATTTCCTTCTTAGCCTTACATGTTAAAAGAAAAAGCTAATTTCCCATAAATTAGCCTTAAATTAATTAAACTAACAGAACCTAAAAAATGTAAAATCTACCTACTAGATAAAGAAATGGCATCATGTAATTTCTTTCCCCCAAAGAGTTACAGGAAAGAAATAACATGTCAGAAATGGTAATATGACTTGCATTCTTGATGCTAAAATATTACACTGCTGTTCAAAATATTCCATGGATTCGCCCATAGAAGGAAATGGGATAGAAGCATGTCTGAAATTCAGAAACATCTCTCTTGTTCTTGATGATGATGATGTGGTGGTACAAAGAGGTTACAATTCCAGGTCAGGTTATAAGTACAGTGCACCTTGCTCAATGCTACCCCTTCCGGCCTCAGCATCCTACCCCATCCCAGATACATTTCTGCTGCCCTTAAGTGAAGTCAGTGTGCCAGAAACTTCCATGAGGGTCTCGGTTTGTTCCCTTGTGGAATCAGAAGATGGAGAAGGCATTCTTTTAGTTCCTCTTTCTTTCTGTATAACCTGTATAACCCATTACCATAGCTCAAATTTGGAATGTACATATATCACTGTCAGAATGAAATGTTCAAGGAAGAAAAAGAAAGTGAGAAGAGCATCTAGAGTGTATACAAAAGCATACATCGTATTCCCAACTGGAAAATGCCATGAGAGAAAGCATCAAGGATTTCTCGTAAAGCTCTGTGGAGTTGGCTAGGACGTATCAACTCTGCATAGAAAAAAACCCAGTGGAAAATCAAGTCAAAGTCACACTGCCTGCCACGAGTCAGCGCTAGTGCAAAAGGCTCTGTCCTCTTTGGCCAATGCTGAGTCTACGTCCATGAACTCCAAGCTGCAGGGGTGTAAATTACAAACTGGGGTGATGAGATGTCAGGAGTAAAGACGTGGTCACACTCATATATGGAAGTGCACCCTCAGAACAAATGTGGGTGTGAGGTCCCTTGGGACTAGGATGAAGACCCTTTCCACCTATTTTATATTTGGATAACATCTCAATAATTTAAGAAAGGTTTTTTTTTTCTAAACCCCTTCTCATGACCCATGTATGAATGATAATATCATGACCGGGTAACCATTTGCAAGGTGTTGGTGCGAGTCTAGTCTCTACTAACTTAGTGATAGTCTGTATGTCTTGGTTTATAAGTTTTACTGTTCATTTACTTTCCATGACTGTGTTACATTTTAAAATGATAAGATTACTATCTTTGAGGAGTTGTGGGAAGGGACTACCCTTCCACAAAGCTGCTGTCAGCACAATGCATCTTGATCTAGGTCATCCCTTTCCCCATTCTCCCCTGTCTGCCAGCCCCATCCCTCACTCAGTTGTATTGGTGTTGTAAGATGTACACGGAGTGTTCTGACTGCATTCTCTTTCCGCTTCCGCGTCATCCATCTACCTCCTCTCCTTGGTTCATCCTCCACTTTTCAAGTACCAGTTTCCTGATAATCCTTTTGTTGGACCGTGAGGTTGCTTTTCTAAGGAATTACACCATTTGAATTCTCCCCTGCTAATATCATATTTCAGTTAATGTATTTGTGTACACGGGCATACAGTGTTTATTAGTACATTCAGAAATTAGTTCTAGCTTCCACATATGAGAGAAAGTAAGAGCTAGGGAGTCTCATGGACCTTTGTGCCCAGCTTGTCTTTGAACTGTGATCCTTCCGTCACATCCTCCTAAGCAGGATTACAGGCATGAATTACTGTAGCCTGGCATTATTTGAAATAGATTTCAACGTTATCAAAAACTAGCCAAATGTAAGATGTTATTACAGTCAGTCATTTTTCCATGTATGATGTTTCTGTGCATTTTTTGGTGTGGGTCCTGGGGCTTGAACTCTGAGCCTCGGTGCTACCCCTGTGGTCTTTTTGTTCAAGGCTCGTACTCTACCACTTGAGCCACAACACCATTGTGGCTTTTTCTGTGATTAATTGGAAATAAGAGTCTCACTGACTTTGCTGTCCTGGCTGGCTTCATACCAGATCTCAGCCTCCTGAGTAGCTCTCAGGCATGAGACAGTGGTGCTGACTTCAGTGCAAATTTGTTTATGTCCTGCATAACGATGAAGCTAATTTTGTCTTGGTGACCAAAAGTTTATACATGTAGCAGCTTAAAAAGATAATTTCAGGGCTGGGAAGGTGGCTCAGTGGTAGAGCGCTTGCCTTGCATGCCTGAGGCCCTGGGTTCGATTCCTCAGCACCACATAAGCAAAAAGAAAAAACCCGGAAGTGGCACTGTGGCTCAAGTGGTAGAGCACTAGCCTTGAGCTGAAGAGCTGAAGGACAGTGCCCAGGCCCAGAGTTCAGGCCCCACGACAGGACCAAAAAAAAAAAAAATAATTTCAGTTTTTATATTATTCATATTGTTTACCTTTTGTCAATATTATGATAGCTTTGATAATTAGCAGAGAATGAATCTGCTAATTGCTAAAATTATAGGTCCTTTATTTCCCTTATGGGAAGCATAATTAGTTTTATTTTGAAAAACTTCTATTTTCTATTTTTCTAAGACATACATCACAATTACAATTTATATTTAATAATATGCATGTAATTATGTATTTACTTATGCAATAGTATACAATACATAATTCTTCCTGTATATCTTTAATATGATTACAAAATTCAACTATTAGAAATTAAGTTATCCTCATTTATCTATAGGTGTTAAGGGTATAGTGAGCAGTAATTAACTGGTAAGAAATGCCCTCCTTGTTATGTTGTCATAAGAGCAAAACACAGGAAAAAAAGGCCATTGAATGGTATTTTTCCTAAAAAATGAAGGTATGTTTTCCTTTCAATAATAATAAAGAGATGATTCTGCTCTGATCAGTGAGGGGAAAGGCCAAAACCAACGTTTTTGCAATAGTAAATCACTCTCAACTTGGATTAACTCATAAATATCAGCTTTTATGTTGCTTTTCATGAATAAATCACCCTAGAAGACTGGAAAAATAGTCAAGAGTTTTAAAACAAAACAAAGCCTGAATCCAGGCACTGATTTAAGTACACTGGCTTGGTTTTCACACTTTGGTCCAAAGTCACAATTTCTCAAAAATGATGATAAATTTTATCAAAGTTTGTAGTACCGCCAACTTGAACTTGCCAGCTAGGCTACTGTGATTCATGAGTGACATTCCAAAATAAGTGTGGGAGCTACTTTCTCTCTGTCCACCCTCCCACTGCCCAACCTGCCCGCAGGAACAACGTCTCATTCCAAATCACCAACTGACATTTAAAATCGCAATGTAACCTTTCTCTCCAGACACTACCCGAACTGAGCCTACTAGAAGTAAAACCTGGGCAAACATCTGCAATATTTTCCAGATAGAATGTGTCTCAATTAAATGCAAGACATGCATAGAAAAAGGAGTAAAATGGAAAATGGGGGTGGGGGGGAATGGGGTGGGAAGCAGGGCACCTGTAATCCTAGCTACTCAGGGGGAGAAGATTTGAGGGTATAGTTCAAAGCCAGGAGAAGCAGTAAACTCTGTGAGATGCTTATCTCCAATAAACTACCAAAAAATAAATAAATAAAAACAAAACAAAACAAAAACCCTGGAGTAGACCTGTGGTTCAAGTGATACCAGCACTATCCTTGAGCAAAAAGCAACGTATGCCTGGCTTCAAGGGCCTGAGTTCAAGCTCCAAGACCAAGAAAAAAAAGTAAATAAATAAGCTCTCAAAACTGGTTAGAAAACAGAATATCACCCAAGTCCTTTCTTCCTAAAACCTAAGTTAGGAAAACAAGATTTAAGAAAAGTATCTTTTCCCTTGTATTAACCTCACAGATCAGCCTTCAACTAGCCTTAGAAAACACTATTTTTTTAATGCCATGGCTAATCTACAACACAGTACAACAAATGCATTCTTCTTAGCATACATTGGTTGTACTACACGGGTTTCCCTGCAGCATGCCCAGCACATACACAACGTGCCCTGATCGGCTCACCCTCCATCTCTCCCCCTCATTGCCTGCTTCACTTTATTTTCTGAACTTAGAGAACGTGTACATGAAATCTCTATACATTCAACGTGTCCCTCAAAGTGTGCAGGGCTTCTTGGTCAGAGACACCCCTTTCCATCGTTTTTCCCCCATCTGCTTGCTGCTCTTTCCAGACTCAGTGTTTGATTAGTCTATGTTCATATGTAGTGAATTGTTTGAAAACTCTCTTAGTGCAGTCTCAATGGCCACCACTCATGTCGCTCGTGTGGCGATAACGTTCACTGGGAAATATCTGGATTCTCACCACCCCAAATTCTGCCCACTGGCAGCGGAGCAGATATCAGGAGCTTCTGTGAAGGACACACAGGAAGGGGCCTGTCACCTGGGAAGCTCAAGAGTGGGACAGGAATGCAGCCAGCCCCGATGCTCATCTCCACTCACAGGGAAGAGCCCGGGAAGTGGCGGCTTAAGGAAGGGATCATAACTGGTCAGTTAATACATGTCAATAAACGTGTCAATAAAAGAAAGAATTCGAGTCAATGTACTTAAAATCTTGACAATTCTTAAATCTGATGATCATTATATAGCCTTCAGAATATATAAAAAAGGTGAAAATGTCTTTTAAAAATCAGTGTTAAAACAAGCTGGGTGCTGGTGGCTCAGGCCTGTAATCCTAGCTACTCAGGAGGCTGAGATCTGAGGATAGCGATTCAAAGCCAGCCCGGGGCAGGAAAGTCCGTGAGACTCCCATTGCCAATAAACCACCAGAAAACCGGAAGTGGCGCTGTGACTTAAGTGGTAGAGTGCTAGCCTTGAGCTGAAGAGCTGAGGGACAGTGTCCAGGTCCAGAGTTCAAGCCCCATGACCAACAACAAAAAAATAACTAAATAAAAGTAAAAAAAAAATTTAAAAACCTAAGCTGGGTGCTGGTGGTTCATATCTATAATCCTAGCTACTCAGGAGGCTGAGATCTGAGGATCAAAGGTCAAAGCCAACCAGGGCAGGAAAGTCCATGAGACTTATCTCCAGTTACCCACCAGAAAACTGGAAGTGGGCTGTGTCTCAAGTGGTAGAATGCTAGCCTGAACAAAAAAGCTCAGGGACAGCAGCGCCCAGGCCCTGAGTTTAAGCCCCATGACTGACAACAAACAAACAAACAAAATCCTATTTTGTTGGAAAGAAAAACTAGCTGGTTTGGTAGTGCATACCTACAATCCAAGCAAGTGTGAGTTTAAATCTGGCTTAGGCTGCACAGTAAGACCCTGTCTCAAAGTCAAGCCAACAAGCAACAAGAAAAGATATAGTCAAAAATAATGTCAAATCATCAGAGAAACTTGCTACCAAATACGTTTTAAAAATATTTAAGTATTTAAGAAATACATTCTCGCTATCAGACAGGTTACCTGGCAGTCTTTCAGGGAGCTCTGAACGGAAGCCTGGTCTCCAACCCGAAACTCTTGCTTCGTTCTCTTCTCCTGGGAGTCAAACCACATTTTGAGACTTTCTACATCATTTTCATATTCCGACCAGGATTCCAATAAGCCTTCCAACAACTGGACCTGAACACACACAAGGGAAAGAATGTTGCCATTTCATGTTAAATTCAAACATCATCAAAGAGGCCGTATATTATAAATTAAAATTTTCCCAGCCAGATGCTGTGGGCCTATGCCCACAGTCTGATCTACCCGGGAAGCTGAGATCTGAACACGGCAGTTCAAAGCCAGCCTGGGAAGGAAAGTTCCCTGAGATTCTTATCTCCAATTAACCATACACAAAAATTAAAAGTAGCAGTGTGGCTTAAGCAAGAGAGCACCAGTCTATAGCGAACAGTAAGAGCGGCCATGAAGTCCTCAGCTGAAGCACCAGCACTGCACAAATAAGCAAATAAATAAATATTCTAAAAATTATAGCCCTTGGCAGTCAGGTACCGGCAGCTCCCACCACGCAAACTCAGGAGCTTTTCGATCTGAGGATGGCAGTTCAAAGCCAGCCCAGCCAGGAAAGTCTGTGAGATTCTTATCTCTAATTAACCTAATTAAAAGAAGTAGAGCTGTAACTCCAGTGGTAGAGCACCAGCCTTGAAGGCAAAAGCTCAGGGACAGTGCCTAGGCTCCGAGTTCAAGCCTCAGGACTGGCACTTTGTGCATGCATGCACATGTGCATGGACACGCGCACGCGCGCGCGCGCACACACACACAGACAATAGCCCATGATCTATATAATTCAAAAAATGAATTTTATCAAGTGTGAATCAGGGGCTATTCTGGGTAAGCAAGAAAGGACTAGAGCTAATAGGCAAGGAAAACAATAGGCCTCAAGAGATAGCGTCAAAAGACATAAAAACATGAATTTTACAAAGAGCACATTCTTCTATTACTTGCAGAAGGAAAGCACTGTTGACCAGGTAACCTTCAGGAGAGCGGCTGGGAACATTCCGGACCCCGCCTGACCCTGGGCCTGTGCTCAGGGCTCTCGGTAGATCTGGGCTCTCGGGTGATCCCGGCAGCCCTGCCGCACGCACCTTCTCTGCGACCAGACCCTGCAGGAGCTGCCAGCTTCTGTTCATGGCGCCCAGCTGCTCCGCGAAGTCCGTCTTGTCGCTCCGCTTGCTCTCCACATCCTGACTGCTGATCTGCAGCACAGACTGGTTCACGAAGTCCACCGTCAGCTGTTTGCACTGAATGTCTATCTTAAAGCCCTACAAGGGAAGCAGAAGAAAATGAGATTGTCTTATTAATGTATACATATTATTGTTCTTCTGGGAACTGGAGAGTCCCAGCTCACCTTGACATGAGTATTACCTTCTTCTCCTTTGATGTCACCTAAATGGTATCATCACTTCATTTACCAACCTGGTCTTCGCAGAAGTTAAGCATATGATAAACACAGATACACACATATATGGAAGATACAGAGCCTGGTAAATTACACAAGCTCACTATAAAATATTTATCAAGGGCTGGGAAGGTGGCTCAGTGGAACAGCGCTTGCCTTGCATGCATGAGGCCCTGGGTTCGATTCCTCAGTACCACATAATCAGAAAAAGCCAAAAGAGGTGCTGTGGCCCAAGTGGTAGAGTGCTAGCCTTGAGCTGAAGAGCTGAGGGACAGAGTTCAGGCCCCATAACCGAAAAAGAAAAATGATCAATTGTAATATATATTACATGATCAGCATTTTTATTTAGTTGTTTTGCTTTTTCTGGAGCTTGAAATCAGGGCCTGGGCAGTATACATGAGGGTTTTTCTTTGTTCTGTTTTGTTTAGGTTTTGCTCTACCATTTAAGCCACAGTTCCATTTTCAGCTTTTCAATGGTTAACTGAAAGTGGCTCATGAACTTGTCTTGCTCAGACTGGCTTCAGACTGTATCCTTTAGATCTCAGCCTCCTGAGTAGTTAGGATTACAGGTGTGAGCCACCAGCCCCTGGATTGCATGTTTTAAAATAACAAAATGCTCCCTACAAGGGTCACTGCCCTATGGCTCTCTCTAGGGACACAATGTGGTCACATTCAAGTGGTCACAGGGGACCCTGGTCACCAGGTCCGGCCATCGTGTATGAAATCTATACATTTCAAGATCGGTTTTCAGTCTTTTGGTTTTAGGGGTTTGTTTTAAGACCTGAAGAGTTTGAGGTCAGAGCCACTGGAACCATGCCCCCCCAGCCCTTGCATATATGAGTTTTTGAGTCCTTTCAAACAAGATAGTTTAAATGCATTACAAGTGAACCACAGGAAAAGGTCAGGTACCTTATATTTCTGGAGGTATTCGTGCACTGCCCTGTGGCCCACGGCATGTTTTATGTCCTCTTCATCCTTCTGGATAACACTTTCCATGAGAGAGATCCAACTCATGACTTCAGAAATGGCGTGGCGGGAAGGCAGCTTGTCCATCTGGAGCTATCCAAGATGCAGAGACAATGAGCTCCACCCACGTCTTAAAACCCAAAGCCAATTTCCTGGTAACCTCAGAACCAAACGCTTGTTCTTAGGAACACACCAAGAAACACAGGGCTCCACAAAGACATTTGTCAGGTCTGAGAAGCGTGAAGCATCAAACGCAGAACAATGGTAGCCTTTTTATGTTCCCGTGCCATCTCATACCGTCACCTTGTGTAAATATTGACTAATTAATCGAAACACCAGTGAGAAGAGAATATTATTTTATAGCTAGTTTGATGAGTTAAAATAATTTAACTACAAAACATTCAACAGATGCATTTTATTAATTATCTTGTAAAAATCTGTGTGGAATGACTCAGGGATCATCAAAAGAAGAAAAAAATCACACTGTAAGCCGTTATTTCTAGATTGTCTTTTTGTTGTTGTTGGCACATTAGTATTTATTCCTCAGAGCAGGACCAATTTCCTGTTTTGCACTAAGATATAGTTAGGCTTGTGTATTTCACTTCATATATTACATGCTCATACATTCACTTATGACAGTAATTAGGAAGAACAAAGGCATTTTTTAAAAATACTATGTCAGCTTTGGTATAATCCTGCAGAGAACGATGAACAATTCCTGCCTGCCGGGCATGTGCAGCTCCTGGTTAGGGATCAGTGACATATTCATTCCACATAGCTGTCACTCTTGAGTATAGAGTGACAAATGTCAATGAGAGAAAGAAACAAAATGTTCTGGGCTGGGCACTGGTGGCTCACACCTGTAATCTTAGCTACTCAGGAGGCTGAGATCTGAGGATGGTAGCTCAAAGCCAGCTCAGGCAGGAAAGTCCATAAAACTCTTATCTCCAATGAACCACCAGAGAACTGGAAGTGGTACTGTGGCTCAAAGTGGTAGAGCATTAGCCTTGGGCAAAAGAGCAAAGGAACAGTGCCCAGGCCCTGAATTCAAGCCCCATGACTTTCCAGAAAAAAATGTTCTGGGGAGTTTAGAAGAATTCAACATATTCCCAGAGAAGAGGAAGACAATCACACATGGGATAATGACATTTTGTTCACTGACAGATGCCATCTATTTAGTAGTTGTCCCCAAAGATGGCATTGCCCAGTGATATGGCAGCCAGCTGAGTTGGGCTCAGATGCTCTGGAATATCTGTATCCTGATAAAATGGTCCAACAGCACAGTTGTCTGAGCATATCCCTGTCTTTAAGGGATACATGATCCTACTTACAGTTATTGAATACTCAGTGATCTCTTGAAGGTAAGAAGGTGGGACTTCTACACATTTTTAAATAACTATGAAGGTAACTACTCAAGCTGTGAAGCTGCCCACCTTTTATCCATTACAGAACAGTTTAAATAAAGAGATTTTAATACACACACATACAAGTTTGGGGAAGAAATGTCTTGTGGTGGCTCATTTAATGGGAGAGAGAGACAAACCAGGTTCTGAGATAAAGCTGATTTAAGTTTGTGTCTAAGGCATCAGTAGATGAATACCAAATAAATCCACCCTTTGCTGCATACCTGGTGGAGCTTCTCTTGTACGGCTGGGATATTTGCCAGTAGGTCAGTCCACTGGCCATCCACGTGTGACAGCTGAGAACGCAGGGTGGCCGTGTCCACCTTCTTCAACCGGAGAAGCTGGTTTCCAGTGCTCAGCACAGATGACTTCAGGGAAGATTTGGCATCCACCTCTTTAGAGAACTCCTAAAAGCCATAACAATGTTCAAGTTAGGATTACATAGCCAGCCTTTCGTTTAAGAACAAGAGGCTAATTTAGTGCCTTACACAACAATTTCCTCTATGTATTGAGAGGAGTATGGTAGAAAAATCCCTAGAGGAAAGCAAAGAAGCAGACTTTTACTCTCAAATCAAAATCTGGAGGATGATCTGAAATATCTACTAGTACTCAATGGTAAGCCCTACTAGTTGGCTTTCAGTGCTCAGAGCTAACATGGAAAAATTCTCTATAGGTTGGCTTACCTAGCATGTCCATTCATGGCTGACTTCCTGGTATAGGGGTCAGGCTTTGCCTAGAGGGCTAGAAAGAAGACATGGAGCCAAAGGCCTTAGATTTCCAAACTTACCAGGAAGGCATTTAGATGATCACGGACCATTTCCAGTTCTTGTGGGATTGTCACAGATTGCTGAGCCCAAAATGCAAGCCTGTCCCTTGCAGACTGTAACCAGTGCATTAATTCCGCAGACTCACTTTGGTACCTGTAAGTATGTAAAGGAATCCACTGGGGAAACATGCAATCTCTTTGGCTCATGCATGCTCCATTTCACCAACAGACTTAGAACAAAAATGTACTAAGTTGATACTCCGAGATTTTTTTTGTTCCCTGATATTGTATTCCTTGATGAAGTTTGTCTCTTTGGGTCTTGCTAGTTGAAAATAACAATCTCTTCTTTCACATCATGCTACTGAAAAATACCAGCTGATTGTTTACAAACATGGCATAGAAACAGAGTGTTTGTTATATAAAAATCAAATACCCACCCTCCCCGAATACTTCCTGTTATGGTTTGGATGTGAAATGTTCCATGCAGGTTCATGTGTTGAAAGTGTGACTCCCACTGGGGGTGCTACTTTGGGAGGTGATGGACAGCTTAGGAGGTGGGGCCTAGCCAGAGAAAGTAGGTCCCTGGCCTGTGCTACCAGGAACCAGGGACCAGAGACCCTTCCTGCTTCCACCTCACCTGGAGGTGAGCGGCTTCCTGGGTTACATGCTCCCCCCACCAACTCAGCCTCAACTCAACCTCTAAAACTAAGAGTGAAAATCAAGCTTTCCTCTTCTTAAATTGTCTCTGTTAGAGTCACACTGACAAAAATCTAGCATGCTAAAAGAGCATTCCCCTGAAAAACATTTTCCCTTTCCTCTCTTTCTAAAGCCTTACTGTGATAATCCAAAACAGTCAGTAAGCAAAGAAGAAAGGCAGTTCACAGGTAAGGTGCATTATGTAATTTCTTCCTTGCCCACTTTTAATTATGTCTTTATATAGGAATCCTACTGGGAAGCCAGGTGCCAGTGGCGCACACCTGTAATCCAGGTGGCATCAGGAGGCTGAGATCTGAGGGTCTCTCTTCAAAGACAGCTTTGGCAGAAAAAGCTGGAGGAATCTTATCGCCAATTAACAGCAAAAAGCAGAAACTGGAAGTATGGAGTATGGCTCAAGTGGTAGAGCACGAATTCAAACCCCCATATTGGTACACAAAGACACAGTCACACACACAGACACAGACACACACATATATGCACACACACACACACACACACACACACACACACGCACACACAACTCAAACTAGGTGCTTTCTCTTCTTTATTGTTCAAACTATGCCATTTTTCCAACTCGCCTATCTTCTCCAACTCCAACATCGACCATAGCACTTTACTGCACCAGGGTGTGTACAGAAAAGTGTGCAAGATCATCACCCTATTACCTGGTCCAGTGTTTCAGTATTGTTTCCAGTCTGTGCAGTTCCTTCGACACCCGGTTGGTGTTATTCAGCCAGCGCTCTCCCAGTTGATTCAGCTGACTTTCCAGATCTGAGCAGCTGACGGACATCAGGAGTCGTTTCCCATCATCTAATACTTGATATAATTTGGGCTGGTATTCATTAAGGCTGGATTTTAGATGCTGAAATGGTGAACAAAATTGAGTGAAACATTTGCTTTGCATTCCTGGCTCTGAAAACAGCATTTCTCTGTGCTCACAAGGCTCCCAGTGCCCATCACTCAAATATAAATTATTTTCACCCAAGTGTCAATGAAAACATTTCATCAAAGGAGAAATGGTTTGCTTGAGGGGTTCAGTGACTTTAGAAACATTTAAAAACATCAATCTTCGTTGTTTCATTTTTGTTGTGATACCAATATAAACTACAGTGAATGCTGGGTGGAGATTTGGAGATTTGAAAGTTTTCCAAAAGACTTCTTCCATTAAAGAGAGAGAGAGACAGAGAAAGAGAGAGAGAACATTTTGAATTTTTTTTGGTAGTGCTGGGAACTGAATGGGAATGCCTGCTAGACAAGCATTCCGTTACTAAGTGAAAGAATCAGCCTAGAAGACTATCTTATTGTAAATAACTCACACATGAGCTGCTTCTATTATAAATAATTCACGCACTACCTGGTATCAGTAGTTTGAAAGAAAAGTAAAACAAGGAGACACCTGATCACAACTTTGTTTTGATTCCATGGAAAGTACTGGCAAGGTTCTAAAGCAAATGTGGCCCCCATAGCCCCGAGACGCCGTGGGGGCCTGACCTGGTAGAGGCTTGTTCGTTCCATGAGCCTGTCCTCGCTCTCCTCCACCAGACCCACGCTGGGGATACTGCTCTCCACCACCTCCAGCTCTCGGACAATCTCCCGGAGACCCTCATCCAGATGGGACCATGTCTAGAGAGACAACAATAGTTTATGAGCCAAAGAACCCTCCTGGGTACCAATACCTGTGTGCACAAATGTATGGTGAATAGACCTCATGCTTATAACCAGGTGGGCCGGTAAGTCACTAAACATCTCTGAACTATTTTCTCCACAATCAACTGGTGCTAATGGTAGCTAATTTCTCTACCGTGAGTCTTTTTTTTTTTATTGTGAAAATACTGTACAGAGGGGTTACAATTACATGGGCAAGATAATGAGTACATTTCTTATCAAGCATTGTAGCCTCCTCCTTTGTTTCTCCTTCCCATCTCTTCCCATCCTCCCCCTACCCCCAGTCCTTCTCCCACCCCCACTGCACCAAAGTTGTAAAGTTTGTTTTCGACATAACGACTTGTATGTCTCATTGTTGCAATGGGTCTACCTGTATCCCTATTTAAACGATTTGTTTTTTCCCTTCCCCTCCACAAATTATATGGACATCAAATACAGTGAAACCAAGGGTTATACTGTGGGGGAGGGACATACAAAGCAACAAAGAAATAATCTTATAAGTGTGTTAGAAACAATCCCATGAAAGAAAAAAAAACATTTGAATACATATCTTATGGTTCATTTCCCTAACATCACCTTATCTGACCTTTTCTGCTTGACTCAGACATAGATATTGCAAATAAGGGAAACCATGGGACCTATGTTTCTTTGGGCCTGGCTTACTTCACTTCATATAATTTTTTCCAAGTCTTTCCATTTCCTAACAAATGGGGCAATGTCATTCTTTCTGATGGAGGTATAGAATTCTGTTGTGTATATATACCACATTTTCTTGATCCATTCATCTACTGAGGGGCATCTGGGTTGGTTCCATATCTTAGCTATAGTAAATAGTGCTGCAATAAACATAGTCATGCTTCTACCGTAAGTCTTAAATGTAATAATGACTGCAGTACACCCAGGATCTGATGTACCTGGCTTATTCTGTACCACAGAAAGGATTTACACAGAAGAGATAGTATGCTGGCTTTTCATATAACATGTGAACCCAACACATTACATGCACAAATAAGTCTTAAAACATAAACGTTTATAAAATAGGAATATTGAGTACAAATACTATAGCAAGGAAAAAATGTCAAATTGCTGACTCCTACATCCAGACTTTTATTTCATTTAAAACTGGAAAATACTTTCTAATCAGCTGAATTATTTTCCAAAAATTTATGAAAACGGAAGCAGTTTTTCAACGTGTCCATTCACACTAATGTGCAGTTGGCATGCAACGAGATGTCACAGTAAGGAGGTGTGCTTGGATCGAGGGATCTAAGAGTGAATGAAAGACACCTAATGCCTGCCTTCAAGGAGCTCACACTCTAGGGATGAAAGACCGAGAATCCACAGTACTTGTACTTCTTGTGGTGTGTGGGAACAAAACTGAGCTGCAGAGGGGGATGGAGGGAAGGCCTGGGTGTGTCCCCAGTGGGGTTGCAGTGTAAATGAGTCAGGTAGATCACCTTGGGAAACACACATTCCAGCACACAAAGCCAGTCAGACATGGTATGACTGCCAGTCCGGCTAATAACTAATCATGTGCCTTGGTAAGATATTGGTCCCAGACTCAGTCCTAGAAGAGGAATTCACAATGCAGCTTAGAGTGTTGTGGTAAAAACTGGACAGGTTCACATAAATATAAACTATCTGGCTGGAAGACTGATCAGTTGCCCAACAGTACTGTTATTACAAGGATGTCCAATGCTCAAGACCTCTCTAAAATACAATATGCAGAGGGATTCCATGTCTGGAATTTGTGGAGTTAGCATGTGGAGTTAGCCTAATGTTGGCTCAGGGAAGAAGACAAGATTTAAAATGGTGTAAATATGAATGTTAGGCAATTCAGGTAAGACTGGAAATGTTGTGGGAGATCAGAAGAAAAAAATACAGAGGCGTTATCATCCCTCAAATTTTCTTGGGCCAAAAGGAAATACAAGAAAGCTAGAATAGTTTGGGGCAACACTCTAGTTACTATAAACATAAGGGCCAGTTGTATTAAGCATGTCTCACATTGACACAGGTTTCTATGCCTGGGTGATTAGCTTCTATGGAGGACCTACTTGGTGTTCAAGAGCATATACTATGAGGAAGCTAAGACCCAAGTCCAAGCTCCTCTGACTCTAGAGCAGTGCCTTGCAAACTCCTTTGGTAATTGGTAAGTTGTGTGGACCACACAGTATCTATTACAACTGCTCATGTTCGTCCTGTCAGGTGAATGCAGCTGTGGACCAGATGTGCAGTGATCCAATTTGATAGGTTCCAAATAAAGTCTACCAAAACAGGCAATGGGTTACATTTGGTCTGTGGGTCAAATTCCACTTTAGAATGTTCGTCTTGATTGCAAATGGCACCCTCTCTTTCCTAGCATGGACAAGATCCAGTGTATCCAATGCTGTTTTCCTCCCTGTGAAAATACATTGTATTCTGATTGTCTGTGGCTGGCTGGTGATCTCATAGTCTAGTGAGGGCAGTGACCCAGAAGTATTCACTGTTGTGTTCTGAGTGCCTGGCAACTTGGTGGCAGCTTGGTAAACGTTAAGTAAGTAAACATTTGCTTCCTTCCCTTATGATGAATACGAGAACGAGGGACTTGAAGGTGACTCAGTGAACGAGACAACGAAACGTCAGCTTCCTTTTATGACAGGCAAATTCAGACCAGTAACCAAGGGAAACCCTACACGTGGTTTCTACAATCTGACTTTGCTTATTCCTGATCTTCCAGGTGTGCTGCTTCCGCGCAGTTTCTTTGTCTTATACCAAGTGGACTGTTTGTCTTTTGCTCCAAGAGCCTTGTTAGACCCTCACCGGCTCTCCTCTGGCTGCTGGACCCTCTCGACAGGTCTTCTAATGAGACAAAACTGCACTGGGACTGAGCCGGGGATATGTTTTGCCTTTTTCATCATCTTAATTAAGCTTTCAAGCCAGAATGACTGAGCCTCCAGCTCTCTTCAAGCACAGTCTGACATCGCTCTTCAACTGGATGACTGACAAAAATAAAACACAGCCAGTGGAAACCGGAAGTATTGGGGGAATGGGAAACCTCTACTTGTGGGAAACATAATCTGGAGCCACAGAACACGGCTTAGCTCTTAGGTCACGGGAGGCAAACTTGAGTGGTCACATGTGGCCCAACTGGAAGGTCCACCTTCCAGTCAGGAAGACGCCCCCTGAGCAGTCTTACCTCCAGAATGTACTCTAGCTCCACACCCCTCTTGTGAGCCCGTTTCAGCACAGCAGATGCCTGAGCCATCTGGTCCGCGTGGAACTGGGTTTCCTGTAGGACCATGAAGCCGATGATCTTTCTGAAGAGCGTTTCCGTCAAGATCATGTGCGATTCCAGGCCCTGGAAGTATTCCTGCAGTGTTATAGATGGAAAGAGGTCAGCAGCTCATCCACAGGGAACCTAAGGACCAAAATGGCTTCCTTGAGCTCATCATACATCACACTGGCCCTCGGTGAGGCCCAGACATGGGCCACCTCCTGTAGTCTCCCTCCAGAAATGAGGCTGTGAGGACCTGTGGTCTTGACCTCACTCAAGAGAGTCCTATTCATTGAACTGCACACACAAGCCAGCCCCTCGCCCCCTCCCCACCCCAAGATCAAAGTTATTCATACGAGACTAGTTGTTGACCACCTCCTGTCCTTTGAACAATAGCCTCTCGCACTTCCCTGGGTCTCTCACGAGTGTCCTCCTACCTCCCTTGATACCTCATTTGCCACACTCCCACCCTGAGCCTCTGCTTCCTCTGCTCTTCTCCAGATGCTCTCCAGAGACACCCAGTGTCTTTCCTTCCTCCATAGCTGGCCCTGGGCCCCTCTTTCTAAGCTTTTGGAGAGGTTTATGGGCTTATGACTTCCTGCCAAGCAGAGTTTGGCCTACACTAATTTGGTCTCAAGTATTTTTAATTTGCCTTGTGTTTTCACAAAATAGAACTGAAGCCCTTACGCGACCCTACAGATATTTTTGGAAGGTCATTTTTTTTAATGTACAATAGACCCTAGAGTAAGAAATGGGCCCAAGCATATCTCCTATGCTCAGCCCCACTGGCCCAGTAATTGGATATGTTCTACTTTCCAAGGCTCCATAAACTCTTTACCTTAGCCATGCCATCCTTACATAGACCAGAGCTCTATGAAACAGGTGCTCTGTGAACATTTCAACTCATGCTCCTACTTCTTATTCATTATTCCTATTCATTACTGATTGATCGCAGTACTGCGCATTGCCAGGAAAGCAACTCTACCCCTTGAGACACAGCCCCAATCATTCAGTTATACACTTTTGTTTTTGAAACAGGGTCTTCGGCTCTCTTTGCCTAGGCTGGCTTCAAACTCATGATCCTGCTGCCTCTACCTCTTGAGCATCTATTACAGGTATGTGCCACTACCCCTGGCTGGAAAAAGTGGCTCGATTTTCCATGTAGGATGAGAACACCAATCCTCTCCGTCTGTGGCTTGTACAAGGTCACAGCGTTTACTTATGTTAGCGCTGGGGCTCGAGTCAGTATTGTGGTTTGCTGTATCTGTACCTCCCCCTCAACACAGCAGAACTCTCTCTCTCCTCCAGAACATGGGCTCGTCAGTAAAATGTGCTCCTAGAATCTCCAGAGTTGGGAGAGACAGGGAAGGTCACCCACCCAACGTGCTTCCTTTCACCAGCCCCTCCCCCTCCCAGCCCGGGCTGGGTTCTTTCTCATGGCCGAAGGACCTCCATTCAGTGGGAGTAGCCTCCTTCTTTTAGAGTTCTACTACTACTGAATTTTATTTCCTTTCTTTTTCTTTTTTTAAGCTCATTGATCCTAGTTTCCTTTCTGGAATAACTCAGCATGATCTTTTATTGCTATGGTCACATTTGAGAAAAACCAGCTGTGAACTTTAAAGCCATGTCTTCAAAGCCAAATGATAAGGCTTTAATAAATTATAAAATTCTAGACAAAAAAACCCTCTGGGAATAAACAAAATTACAATTCACTTCCTCCAAAATCCACCATTGAAAAACACCAAAGAGCTGGGCACTAGTGGCTCACACTTATAATCCTAACTACACAGGAGGCTGAGATCTGAGGATCTAAAGTTCAAAGTGAGCCCCCACAGTAAAGTCCTTGGGACTCATATCTTCAATTAACTACCAAAAAGGTGGAAATAGAGCTGTGGTTAGTAGAGCACTAGCCTTGATCACAGAAGCTCAGGGGCAGTGCCTAGGTCATGAGTTCAAATCCCAAGACTGGCTAGCACGTGCATGTGCACGGGTGCTTGCACGAATGCACGCACACACACACACACACACAGAGCAGGCACCAGAGAGCAACATTATGGTAGAAAATATGCTAATCATCTTTTGTTTCTCTTCAGGGAATTCCCATGGCCCAGGAGGGTAAGTTTCTCAATTCACAAACGTCCCCTAGTCATTGCTAACATGGCAAATGCCTAGTTGTATGTATGTGTGTGTGTGTGTGTGAGTGTGTGTGAAAAAGGATTTTTTTTACTAAGGAGTAGTATCCAACCACAGGTTGGTTTTGGCACATCCCGATGGCACAGTCCCAGGGATCCGAAGCATGTAGTAAAGGAACTCGATGTCCCCACGAAAATCTCTGACGCCTTCAACAACGAGAGGAAAACATGCTCAGAAACTGAATGACGCATAGAACACACACATAACCTCAATCCCAGAGCTGAGGGGTAGCTCTGGATTCCCAGAGCAGAGCACCGAGTCCTTGCCAGCACATGGGAGGGCAGAGAGAGCAGCCAGCACACAGAGACAAAGGGCCACGAAGGCCACGTCACACACGGAATGCCTAAGAACCTGTCCAGAGTTGCAGCAGATGCTTTTGCAGTTACATTTTCTCGTTCTTTCTGACCTTATGCTTGTCCAGGAGCTGCTGGATGTCCTCCTTGGAAGACACGATGACTTTGTGGTCTCCGGACATCTTCTCTTGTCCAGTTTCTAGCAGGTCAGACAGGTCTTGCAGGGCCCTTTCATACTGGCTCTTGAGGGCAAGATTTTGGTTCAGACTACTCCTCCGTGAGCCAATGGTCATCATCAGCTCATCGTAGGTGTCCTAATGAACAGAACAACTACAGTCACGCTCAGGCCACAGGCTGGCATAGCTCCAAAGACAGAGATATATATTACATTATATTATGTTACTTTATATATGTAAAGTATTATATACGTAATATATATATGTATATATATATATATATATATATATATATATTACTGTCAGGCCAATGACCCGATCAAGGATTCCCCTTCTAGTAAGTTCCAGAACCTGTCTTTCTTATGACTACATTTCACAAGTGTCTTTCAAATAAGGTAAGTTCTAAGACCTCTATACTCATGCCTCTACTGTATTATAGCAAGGGTTATGTCTTTGCAATTGCTTGACATTAAAGAGTTCACGTTCTTCCATTAATATTTTTCAGCATCCCTATTTATTTTTGTTTTAAGACTTATGTGTTTTTAATGAACAATAATAAAGTACAAAAGAGAAATTTTAGATAAAGAGTGATGTTTTAAATACTTAATGATGGGGCAAAGGATGAAATACTCAATAAACAATGTAAGGCGGAAATAACTCAACTATCTGAGGGAAAGTAAAGTTACCATGGTATCTCCTGACATGCCAAAATGCAATTTAGATGGATTGAGCAATAAAAATAGATGGTTTGGAATGTTGCTATGTGGTAATGGGTTTATCTAGCATGAGTAAGAGTCATAGTTCTATCTGCAGCACCACAGCATAAACAAAAAAAAGTAAATAAAGTAACAAAATAAAATTGCAAATGAAGGGGAAATAAAAAAAAAACAAAGAATGTGTCTTTTAAAAAATATAAGCTTAATTTTCTGAGAGTTCAAACAACAATGATATAGCTCCTGGAAATGGCATATGAGGTAGATTTGACAAACGTGTGGCATTAGGTGGTGGCAGAATGTCCCTATGGCTAAGGAGACAGCCGAGAAATTGTAATCCTTTTTCTTATCATGTTCTGAGCACTAAAGTGATTTTATGGACTCGATACAGTATCCTTAACATTTTTGTCTGTTAAATAATATCAGATTTTGGACTATCACTCAAATAAAGAGTTAGTAAAACTAGTCTAATGTGAATGGCAAGACACATAGATTTAGAAAAGCCAGTTATTTCTGCCAAAGTTGGTAAACAATGATTTAATCTGCAAAGACATTTTAGGAGATCATGATACACCAAACAGAAAATTTATTGAGGCATATGGGCCTGATTATTATATCACAGGAAGGAAGAGCAGGCCAAATGGTTAAGTCTGGATAAGTTCAACTTAATGACTATTTACAGTTATGACGTTTGACTCTTACACCTGACGCTGAAGAGCTGTGGGAAAAGCATATTAAAAAGCGCAAGGCGGGGGAGGCGGCTTTGGGAGAAGATGAAGGGATGAGACAGCGCAAATGTGCGCCTGATTAGAAGAGCGATTTTATTTTCCCCAAAGAAAGGGCTTTTGACCTTGGACTTGACTCACACAACTAATCCTCAATTGCTTTGATAAGACCTGTGTAGTTGTGGGGATGTACAACTGTCCACAACTGTGTACACTGTATTTAATAGAACATAATAAAGACATTATCTATCAGATGTGATATCTCAGCCACTTCCTCTGAACATCAGACTCAATTTGTGGCACTAGTGTGTTTACCCAGGGTTGGCTTCATGTTTGCTAGGCAAGTGCTCTACCACTTGATTCATGCCTCCAGCCTACCATGTCCAATTCTTGAACAGGTGTCAGATATCGGCAAGCAAATTAACCCAAAGTGGTATTTTCTATTCCCCAAAGATGCTGAGAAATCTGTCAAAATTAAATCACTTTCTACTTTAGCTTTTCGGTTATTTTTCTAGATTTAAAACCGTGTTTCTTCCAATGAAATATGTGTGAAAGGTGAGATAAAATTCCCTCCCTCCAAAAAAAAACCCACTTTCTGAAAAGTCTTACCGTGAGTATTTGTTCATTTAAGTAGGTAATAGTTACTTACCTCTGGGTAATAATGTAAGTAGTAATGGCAACGATCATGTTTTTAAGATTAGATAAATACATTACTAGACTCTAGCACTACAGTTAGCCATCAGAATATTCATAAAAGGCATCAAACTATGAACCATTAGAAGAAGCATGTGAGTATAATTCATTCTATCAATAAATATTCAGACATTTTTCTAAGTGCTACTTGGAAGGAAAGTTAGGATGGAAGAGCCACAATTTCCATCAAGAAAGCCAAGAAAAGAACACTTTCTTGATTTTCAGTTGTGTTATCCCATTGAAGCCCAATGGTCCTGGCTGAAGACTATACCTGGAGCTTGGAGAGTTCCTGCAGGGCTGGTGGCTCAATCTGCAACTTGTCACCACGTCTTTTTAATTCAGTGATTCCCGCATCCAGTTCCTTCAGTCCCTCCTCAGCCTGTTGTATCGCCTAGGTAGCATTGATGGCATTTTGTTAATGTGCTTAGGACCAGTTTCCCCTCCCCAACAAGATACGATTGGAATACCTCTCTATTTGCTTTCCTTCACTTTACAATATAAAATCAAATACGTACAAAAAGAGTCATTTTACCACCACATATAAACCACAGTCATATGTTATATGAGGAGGGAAAAAAGACGACGGCTCTTTCTTATACCACAGCTGAACCTGCTGGAGGTTATGGAGGAATGAGATGTGGGAGCAGGATGGCTTCTTTGCAAAAAGCAAAGGATGTGCGAATGGCCACACACAAATCGGGCTGTGAGACGTAGTTATAAAAGGGCATTTTGTCTGAGATTTGCTAAGGGACCATGTCCAGTTTCTTGAAATGGAATTGGGAGATGGAATTAGAGAGAGCTCCTGAAAGAAAACTGGAAAATTCATGGCAAGCACCATACAGGAATGCGTGTGCTCAGGGCTAGGAAGAAGAAAAATCAACCCATCTGCAGGACTGAAAGTGCTTGCCGCTGCTAACCTCTGTCTTCCTGGTGTGCGGTCTGCAGAGGCAGACTCAGACCTCATCCTGTGACAGTCTGGTCAGGAAATGAGAGAAACACAAAACAAGCCCGAACAGAATTAAGTGCTAAACTTCATGATGCAACATATCTCTATTAGCATGTGGAGAAGGGAGGAAGCAGCCTGGCAAGCCCTCGTCTAAGTAGGGTTTTGGAAGACACACAATTTCAGTCTCCCTTGATAATGGAAAGAGCCTGGACTCCATATGGCAGATGAAACACAAATGGGTTTAATCTTTCCTTTGCTACCACCCATTGCAACCACAGCACGTATTCTGTTTGCTTGTTTTTTTTGGTGGTGGGGGGGAGTGTTTTCCTCTGTAAATCTACAAGGAAAAGGAAACAAGGAAGAAGGTAATACTAACAAAATTTTGGTGCATAAAAGATCACCTTTGCAAGTCTGAGAAAGCTAAAGTTCATCTAGTAGAGGAATCCACAACAGCACATGCAAAGCCACCAGCGTTGCAGGAGGAACGCAAGTACCTCAACGGAATGGGACTGTGAACTCAAGAAACTCAGTGGAATGGGGTGGTGGGAGAGCTGGCGAAATGCAGCTTGAAGAACGCTTAAGTCTCTAGGGGTCTTTTCTTCATTCCATGCAACCTCTTTCTCTGCCCAGAGAAAGACTCAAAGTTTACTTTCTGGAGAGGGGTAACAGGCTCAGCAGTAGGCTCAAGTGCTGGATTGAAAACATGGAAATAAAGTGACAGAATGCTGGGCCTGAGCTGCCAAAGTTACTCTGATTCAGTAAGTGCTAGGGCTAGTCCTCTACTGGGCAGAAACAAGACAGAAAGCAATCTCCCAGAGTCAAGACAAGAATCGGACAGGGAAACTGCCTTCACCCATTGGTATCTCAAAATCATCACGCTCCATCCTTACATCAAGTGTCCACTCACTGTTTATGTCCTTAACAAGTAGAAAACAAGCAATCTACCTAATTCACATATCCAGTGTGGAAAAGACAAACATAATTAAACAAATGACAGAAACAGGAAGAAAACAGACTATACACATACAAAAATAAACATTAATCACTAGAGATGTTCAAAAGATAATGTATCCACTAAAAAGATAAATAAATAAAAAGGATGAGGGATAGGATACCATAAAATGGGTCATTCCAGAAAACCACACTGAAGCCCGGAAAACTAACCACATAAGATAAAAATGCAAAACTTGACGGAAGAGTTGGAGGTGAAATTCCTTCAGGGAAAAAGTAGAGCGAAAAAAGACACAAAGAGAAAGATCTCTAGATTAAAAAAAAAAAAAGCAAAAACAGAAACCAACAAGTAAAAATGGCAACTCTTTTTTACAACTACTTAAGAATAATGAGAAACAAGAGAAATAACTGAGTATTCAGCAAAAATAAAATAAATCAAAATCAAATGACTTATAGCAATGAATGAAAACATTCAAGATCTGATTGAAAGGAGTTTCAGAAAGATTGACTAAGCCAAGGGCTGAAAAACATAAAATAAATCATTAGAAAAATTTCTAAGCTGGAAAGATGAGAACTACCAAATCAAAAGAGCCCACTGAATTCCCAGCACAGAGGATAAAAATAGACCCTCCACAAGCATAGAATGTTGACATTTCAGAACGCTCGGGACTTCTGGGAATTTGATGATGTTTAGATTTCCCAGCGAACACAGCAAACAAATGTCTACAGATTTTAAAGAAACTGATTTCCGATCGAGAGTTCTATAAAGAGCTAAGCAATTAATAAAGTGTGAGCACAAGGGCATGAACATTTTCAGCCCGCAGGACTGTGAAGAACAGCAACATTAACAAAACAAGGAATCAAGCCAACAAAGAAAATGATTTACAACTCAGAAAACAGTTTCATTTGGAACATATAAAAGACAGAGATCTCTTTAAAAAGCAGATGAAATTCTGAGCTAGGAAAATACACATCTACCTATAACTTTCAAACTTTTTTTCTTTTTTGGTCAGTCGTGGGGCTTGAACTCTGGGCCTGGGTGCTGTCCCTCAGCTCTTCAGCTCAAGGTGAGCACTCTATCACTTGAGCCACAGCACCACTTCCAGGTTTCTGGTGGTTTATTGGAGATAAGAGTCTCACAGACTTTCCTTCCCAGGCTGGGTTTGAACCGCAATCCTCAGATCTCAGCCTCCTGCGTAGCTAGGATTACAGGCATGAGCCACTGGTGTGCAGCTCAAACCATTTTTTGAGTGGCCATCTCTTATGTGTATTTCAGGAGAGTTCTAGTTCTCTGTGGTTTACATAAAGATCCCCCAGCATGCTCTGAAATTAGGTAAAGAAATCCTACTAAATACTCTTCATCATTAATTAGCATTCCATGTGCATCCTCAATTTCTTCCCTCCTCCCTGTTTTTATTGCCATTCTATGAGTTCAAGTCCTCATTCTTTCTCACAGTGGTGGCTACAGAACCTCAAGACTGATCTCCAGTTCCCTGACCCTGGTGCTATCAGAAGCAGGTTCTGAAATGGACTTGTTTTGTTCTCAGACTTTCCTTATGACTGCACAAGACATGAAAGTGTATAAGTCAACCTACCATACTCAGAAACACCACAAACTTCAATTTACATTCATTTGTATTTTCCTTTTCTTTACTTTTTTTTTTTTTTTTGGAAGGGGTTGGCACTTGAGCAAGTTGGCTACACCTGTCTGCTCTATCATTTGAGCTATACCTCCAGCCCTGTTTTTTGGTTATTTTAGAGATGGAGTAGAATTGACTTTTCTGCCCAGACTCAGCTTCAGTCTCAACCTCCTGAGTAGCAGTTACAGGTGTGAGCCAATCATGCCAGCTCTACTTTTATTTTTCAATTCCATTGTATGGATGTTTTCTGAGAAGACAGAGCACTTGCTGATAATCCAGAAACAAATGAATATACCTATACCTGTGTGGTGTTCTTGTTTGTCTGTTCCCTTCCAGCTAATGGGTTATGTGATCAATAACGTGCAGAGATGCGAGGTTTGCAGAATGAAGTCCATGTTCTCTGACGTTCTAAATGTGACCGACCTTGCTTCCCCCTAGTTTTCATCTATTGTAAACTGAACCATGTAGGAATTATTTGTGGTTTTCTGTAAGCACTCAGAATTTTCTAGCTGTATGTCTTTTGTTCTTTCTGTTCTCTTAACCTTGACACATTTCTTCTAAGTCTCTAGATGTTAAAAACCCAAATGTGTCCTATTGTTCTCTAAGCTTTTCCTGGTTGTACCCTTAGTGGGAGACATTCTCTCTTCTCTGAGTGTCTGTAATGCTCTGTGCCTGCCCAAGTCAGTCAGACGTTCATCTTCTCTCCTGGAGGGGAGCACACACCTTCAGGATGTCCACCATCCTTGACACTCTGACCTCACACTGCTTAGTTCTGTGCAAAGATAATAGCAGACCATATCACCTGTATAGTGTTCAAGCCCAGCACTGCAAAGTATGTCCAACAATCCTCCAGCAAGCTACTAATCTATCACGGAGTATTTGAAATTTCAGAGTTAAGCAGGTATCTCTGTGTTTGCTCCTCTAGCCAAATCTGGCTATCAGTACCTCTATTTGTTGTGCCATGGGCTGCTCAAACACGTTGGCCAGTTTCTGTAGAGTGACATACTTGGTATCTGCAAGTGATGTGCGCAGCACCTTCAGGTCATTCTAAGGAGGAAAGCGACAGGGAGATGAAACATGACCACAGGGAATTCAAAACAGTTGTAAATATAGCACAGATTCTTGGACATGATAAAGCAACCATCTCTCAGCGTCTGTGGGAATTGGTTCTAGAGTCTCTGCCACGCTCCGTGGATGTGCAAGTTCCTGATAGAAGACAACATAATTAACTTATGCCTTTCCTGACACAGCATGAAACCAGCTCTAGATTCTGTACAATTCCTTACAATGTTAATGTTCTGCAAAAAGTCAGTATACTGATGGTTTAGGAAACAAAAAAGAAAAACCTACACATGATCAGTACAAACACAATGTTTTTTTCCAATATTTTCTTTCAAGCCATTGGTTGATGCTGGGGATAAGAAACACACAGATAAACAGAGCCCAGCTGGAGCAGTGTAGAAAGTTAATTTTTAGGAGAAATCATAGTGACTTAGGAGAAGATACAAAGAAGCAGTGAACAGTTCACTGAGGTGCTAACACGGACTCTTGAAAAATGTGTTACACACAGCATTGCTACATGGTACAAAGGGACCTAAAAACATCAAAGTCACAAGCAAGGCAGGATGCCACCCTCATCTTCTTGGTGTGTTTAAAATAAATGAGTGTACTTGAACCTCACAGCCAAAATGTCAGGTGAAGGACTTTTATCTAAGGTAAAAAAGACTACAAGATGGGTGCTGGTGGCTCACACCTATAATCCTAGCTACTCAGGAGGCTGAGACCTGAGGTGTGCAGTTCAAAAGCCAGCCCCGGCAGGAAAGCCTGCAAGACTCTTAGCTGCAGTTAACAACCACAAAACAGAAATAAGGCTGTGACTCAAGTGGTAGAGCGTCAGCCTTCAGGAAAAGAAAGTCAGTGACAGTGCCCTGTCTCAGAGTTCAAGCCTCGGGACCAGCACCCAAAAAAACACCTAAGAAAACAAACAAATAATCTAAAGAAACAAAAAAAAGCCCAAGAAACAGACTACAGATATTACTGTGATTTGCAAAACACGCTTGTTAAAATAATATGATTCTTCTTTTCCTTCTTGCCTCCTTCCCTCACTTTCTTCTTCCCTTTTCAAAGAATTTGCAAAATTTATGAGAAGCTATCAAAAAATTTGTATTATCTCCCAAAATGACCAAAGACATGTAATTAGATAATACAAATGTTCTTGGAGGGCTGGGATGTAGCTCAGTGGCAAAGCGCTTGCCTAGCAAGCACAACGTCCTGGGTTCGATCCCCAGTACCAAAAAAGAAAAGACAAAAAAAATACAGTTAAAAAAATGTTCTTGAACATCTTTTCTTCATAAACATTCATCTGAATGTTCAATATACTTATATTGAGTTAGATTTGCACCAAAATGACATAGTTATTATTTCAAAGGAAAAATGAGTTGAAACAATATATGTTATAAAAAATCTGAAAATTTCTCAGAAATATTAACCAATAAGCGCCCTCCTTCCTTCCTTCTTCCATCCATTTTTTTTGTTGGCTGCTTATGTGATTTTTCTATGGCATTGAGGATTAAAGTCACTGGCTCTTGCGATGGTAAGAAAGCGCTTTCTCCCTAAGCTACACATTCCCAGTCTCCCCTTGTTCTTTCATTGTTTCTGTTTTGAGATATGATGAGATAGGATCTTACTAAGTTGTTAGAATTGGCTTTGAACTTGTGGTCCTCCTGTTTCAGCCTCCCATGTATCAGGAACTAGAGGTGTGAGCCACTAGGCCTTGCTCTATTTCTTATAAGTCAGCAAACACATATGCAGGGCTGGGCAATCATCAGAGGCTGAAGCTCGGTTCATGACGCCTCTTCTTCAGGATGAGGTCATGAACGCAGTGTACATCAGCAAGGGTGGAAAATTCTGACCCTGATTTTGTGCGGTGCATATGACACGGCAGAAGAAAACACATGTTTAAGTGTGGAGGGGGGTTAAAGAAGCAAAATAATAGGTGAATTATGTAGGCAAAAAAATTAGGATTGGGAATATAGCTCAGCTACAGAGAGTATGCCTACCATGCCAAAGGCCTGGGGTTGAATCCCCAGAGAAGAGAATGAGAAAGAATACATGGAAATGGAACAAATGAAAACAGAGTGCCCAGTGCAATGTGAGGAATAAACACAGTGTATCTGTGCATCCATGTATGATGTATCTAGCTATATCCTATCTATGTATCTACCTACCTATCATCCTTTCCTCTATCACTTACCTAGTATCTATCAATCAACCTATCCTATCTACCTATCATCCATTCATCATCTATCTACCTACCTACCTTTTGCTCCTTTTCTCCTTCTCTCCTGCTTTTCTGACTTTGCAAAGTTAATATTAGAAAAATACATACCTAACAGGGATGTGGTGAAGGCTAAAGACAATGGTGCATCTGAAATTTTGGTGACTGGGCAATAAAACACCTGCTGGGAGTGTGCCGTGGGTTGGTAGAGCACATCTGTAATTTTTTTCTATATAAACTACTGGGAACTAACGGCATGGATCAATTGGTAGAGCACCTAGCACCTAGCATGTGTGAAAAAGCCGAGTCAGAGAACAAGGCCCTGAGTGCATGCCCCGGCACCAACTCTCCCACATAAAAAAGAAAGAAAGGACAAAGAAAGGAAAGGGAAAAGAATAGAAAATAGAAGGCAAGAATACAGACTAGTTAGTGGGAAAGGTGGAGAAATGTGTCCTTCTAGATGGATATCTAGAAAGCTCTATGTTTCTTGGTAAATGCAGCATTTGATACTCCTTAGTGTTTTTTAACTTTTTTACAAAAGAACAATTAAGTCAATCTTCTAGCACCAATGACATATATCTTATAACCCTCTCACTTTTGTTGAAAACAGCATGCATTTAAAACTGAAGTGTGTTCACAGGGCACTTTTTATTAGGAATGAGAATTTTATCAGTGGCCTTTGCATTACTTTCAGTAAGTCATCACCAGAAAGTTTCATAAGCACTCTATTATTTACTTGGCAACTGAATTTTAATATGGCAATCAAAGTTCGTGAGTCTGGAGTCAGAACTGGAAAGTAATATAATACACTTTAACAAAGGCCAGAGTAAGTAGACTGCAATCATCTCAAAGTCTCCTGGGTTCTCAAATATGGGCTACTATTCCTGGCTGGTAACTATAATGAACTGCAAATTTGGCTTTTGTGGGTTGCATTTAAAGTTTTATGTAGCCCATCTTTTACCTGAATGGGTTCCACATTCTTGCCTTTTTCAGAGAGAGGAGGAGTTGGTCCTGGGACTTGAACTCAGGGCCTGGGTGCTATCCCTGAGATTTGGTGCTCAAGGCTAAAGCTCTACCACTTGAGCCACAGCTCTCATTCCCGCTTTTTAGTGGTTAAATGGAGAAAAGATTCTCACCGACTTTCTTGCCTGATCTGGCTTTGAACTGCAATCCTCAGATCGCAGATTCCTGAGAAGCATGGATGACAGGTGTGAGCCACCAGTGCCCACTGACTCTTGCTTTTCTAGAAGCATGACTCCGGTAGTTTCCTAAGCCTTTGGTTAAGTCTACTGGGCTTTCAGCAATGCGGTTACCTCTGGATTCAGTTTCCAAAGCCTTTGCTGATTATTGGCTGTCCGTGGAGAACGTGGAGAGATCCCTCCGCCCTGTCATATTTACCTGGAAATTGAGGATATGCTGCAGTCTCTCCTTCATCTGCTGGCATCGCTGGCTCACCGCCGAGTCCAGCAGCGAGAGCCGGCCGTGGAGGGAGCCCAGGGCGCCTTCGATGACGTCTCGGTTATCACCACTCTCCGGAAACGTTTGTGAAAACAAGTGCTTGTTTTTATCCATCTCTTCCGACATTTCCTTAATGTCTTTGGCAAGAGCCTGGGGTTCCCAGAAGAAAAACCCCATTTCCCGGGTTAGCTCCAGAAATCACTAGGCAAATCAAGTCATTTCCTTAAAGCAAGTTTCCAAAACAAATCTTCCTGCTTTAATAATCAGCACGTCAAGGCAATGAGTACATCTTCGAAGTGTTTCTCCAAGAGATGTCCTCAAGGATGCTAAAACATCAGCAAATGCTAATGGTTTGCCTTGAGACAACTGAGCTTTGTCAATTGCTATTTATAAATTAAAGAATCGATTGGCATGCCGGCACTGGACCGTGAACTCAGGTCCTTACACTCTTGCTTAGCTATTTTCTCACTCCAAGCTGGTGCTCTACCACTTGAGGCACGACTCTTTTTCAGGCTTTTTGCTGGCTAACCAGAGATGAGAATCTCATGGACTTTTCTGCCCATGCTGGCTTCAAACCGTAATCCTCCTATCTCAGCCTCCTGAGTAGCTAGGGTTACAGAGTGAGCCACCAGTGCCTGGCCAATACTTATTTTTAAAGTCTGTCATTTGAGATGGGAGGATTTGGGAGACCCAACAGTTTTATACAAAAAGCTCTCCATTGCTCTCCTCTTCTTACACACACAAAGAAAGCATAAAAACGCAAATCTAAGTAGGACCGAGAGCTTTTTGTAGTTGAGCAATTCTGCTGTGCAGGTACGACTTGGAAATGTACCTTTATGAACTTTAGAGCCGTGGTCTGCTTGGCTTTTTCGTCTTTCACTATGAGTAATATCCCCTTATCCACATTCTCCATGCTTGGAAATCCCTGTGTGAAGGAGAATGGCCACACCTACCTCTTGGGTGAAGAGACAGGTCTCCGTTTCTTGGGGTAAAAGTACCGGAGCGACAAACAAACGCTCTTCCACATCATCCAGCCACGTGGACGTCGCTGACACCCCATCATACAGCTTCTGCTCCAGGCGGATATCCTGCCCCTTTGCCCTGGCCCCCTGCAAAAGACACGCACGGGCTCACACAGACACAGGTATCCAGGGATAACAAGCGCACCATGGTGGTCTGAGACATCAACGGGAAACCCCAGGGCCAGGGGCTTTGCGTCTGACAGGCTGGAATCACGGAACCCAGACCGAGTCAAAGCGAGTCAAGCACAGCCAGCGCATGCTTACCTGGGATGAAACCTCCTCCAAGGCCTGGCTCAGTCCTCCCAGCACTGATGTCACTGTGGCCGGGCCTTGCGTCTGCCCCTCGGCCGGGTGCAGAGGCCCTCCCTGCAGCAGGCGGGGCCGGCTGTACAGCTGCGGGTGACACGGGACATCTTACACGAGCGTTCTGTGTCCTCGGCCCCCGCCCCCCCCCCCGGCCCCGGCACGCTGCAGTGTACCAGTTTCTGTGTACAGCGCCTCACAGGGGAGCTTTGTCGGAAAGGTGTGGAATAGTTCCTGGGCTGGGTTACAGATCAGAAACTGTAGCCACGCAGGTCTCATCTGAAGCCACGCGGGGCATTCTGCCTCGAGGCTTGGAATTTATTGGAAGAAAAAATGGCTCTGAGCAGTGGGGGCCGTTAATTTAGAACTTGATCTTGTTAATTTAGAACTCCCCCAGATTGTGTCTGTTTTTACCCAGATGAGTCCACCTGTATGCAAGAATGCTGGTTTGTAAGTATAAAAAAGGAGGGACTTTGAAGGTAGATGCTGGTGGCTCACACCTGTATTTCTAGCTCCTCAAGAGGCTGAGATCTGAGGATCGCAGTTCGAAGCCAGGCTGGGAAGCAGAGTCTGTGAGATGTAAGACTCCCATCTACATTAAAACTATCAAAAAAAGAAAAAGCTGGAAGGGGAGCTGTGGCTGAAGTGTTAGACTCCAGCCCTGAGAAAGAAAAATTCAGGGACAGTGCCTCGGCCCTGAGTTCAACACCCAGGACTGGCAGAAAGAAAGAAAGAAAGAAAGAAAGAAAGAAAGAAAGAAAGAAAGAAAGAAAGAAAGAAAGAAAGAAAGAAAGAAAGAAAGAAAGAAAGAAGGAAAGAAAGACAGAAGAAGGAAAGAAAGAAAGAAGTAAAGAAAGAGAGAGAAAGAGAAAGAGAGAGAGAGAGAAAGAGAGAGAGAGAGAAAGAAAGAATGGAAGGAAGGAAGAAAGAGAGAAAGAAAGGAAGGAAGGAAGGAAGGAAGGAAGGAAGGAAGGAAGGAGAAAGTTTGAAATCAGACAGATCTGTTCCTCCCTTCCAGTCTGCCTCTTCCCAACCTCTCGGCCCTTAGGTGTTAGCCTATGGGGGAGAACTACAGGGTGAAAATAAAGTCTCAGGGTGTTTGGACGTGTTAATGGCTAGACTTCAATCATGCTCATGAAATAATGCTGCCATTCTGCTCCAAAATTGTGACCGGTGATGGGCTTTGTCCCTTCCCTTCCTTCCATTTTCACACCCAACAGAAGAAAACCACCTACAAGGGCCCACGATACCTAACAGCGTTCACATACAACACGTGTCCTAAGAAGAAGCGTCAGAGTGTTCCCTTTCCAACCCCAGACGCAAGCGAGTCAGGACCACGAAGCCAGCCTCGAGCAAAACAGCCACCATGCAACAACGCTGGTGTGGGAATACAGGAGGAAAGAGAGAGCAAGACAGAGCACTCTTCCTCCGAGGGCCAGCAGCGGGTCACGGGTGGACGGCCAGCTTCACCACTCAGGATGAGGCCTGTGGGTGCTCAGCGCTGAGTGAGCTGGGGGGCGAGCCCTGGGGGCTGTCTAATGTCCCGGACAGAAAGTAGGCAAGAAATAAATCAGCATAAATCTGGACCCCTCAGAAGCAAGAACAGGCCCTGGGTCAAGGCTGCGTCTCCTGCTTACAGTGAGAACGGCAGCTTCCTCCGACCGATGGTAAAGGACCTGAAGTTTCTGTTGATGGTGGTCACTTCTTGGAGCAAGCCTGGATAGACAGAGTCCTGTCCGCCTCCTCTTGATCTCCCCTGACCCCTGGCTTCTGCATCTGGTGGACCAACCACCATTATGCACCCGCCTGTTCCGTCCCCTTGGATTTGTCACACTTGGAGGAATGCAGCCCCCTTCCAGCCCTCACCCCAGCCCAGCTGACCACCGGCATCTGCCTCTCTGACCCTGTGGGTTCCCAGCCTGGGTCTCATTAAGACCTTCTATACTGGACACAGGAAGCAGCCATGAACAGTCAGCTGAGTTGACAACTTAGCTCCAGATCGGGTGAATTCTCTTTGGGCTAGGTGTGTATTCCCTTGACTCTACCTCCAATTTGAATGTTGAAATGGATTATGCTAATACAGAATCAGATATGATCACCCTTGAGGAAATATGTTATCTGGACATTAAATGAGCTTTTACATACAAGTATACAATTATATAGGGAAAGGTGAAACTGGCTCATTCAGAAAAATGTAGAACTGGGCAGGACGGCTCACACCTGTAATCCTAGCACTGAGGAAGCCGAAACGGGAAGACTGTGAGTGCAAGGTCAGCCTGTCTAAAGAAAAGCGAATGAACACGATTTTCAAAAGGAAAGAAAATGAGAAAGCAAACAGGCAGAAGGCATCATGTGCACATGCCCTAGTTTGAACTCAATAATGAAGGGGTAGATGGCTGTCGTTAAATTCTCTGAGCATAAATGTAAAATCTCTAAGATATTCATTGATATATAAAAGAAAACAGTTTGCTACCGCTTGTTCCTGCTCCTGTTCCAGAACATTCTGTAGTAGTTTCTGCTTGGTACTAAATTCTTGATGAAGGCTTTCCCACTTCTTTCTCATCTGGTCTTCTGCCGACGACTTCTCCCCTTCCAACTCCTGGGATAACACATCAGGGTTTTCACTATTAGAAGAATAAATAATCTAAGTTTACAATGTGTGCAAAAGGACGAGACAGATCACTTACTGTGCACTACACCCAGCCTGAAAACTAGGAACAAAATCATCTATTCATTCCTTTCCACATTAGAAGCATACATCAAAATACAAGCGTTGGGAGCAGGAGACGTGGATAAAATTAATCCTGAAGAACATTTTTAAGGGCAACAAATGGATAATAGCTAAATACTAGATAAAAACAATCCCCCACACACTCAGAATTATAGTACAGTATGAATACAGAGGGGAACCCTAGGATAAGAAGCGGATAAATGAACTGGAAATCTTGAACATGTTCTGCAGCTCACTGAGAGCATCTGCCCTGCAGAGAATATTAGGGCATGTAATGAGGGGAGGTTTGCTCTGGCCCACAGAACTCAGGCCTGGTGGGGTCCTCTGCTCTGGGCTGGAGGTTCGAGCCCTAGCACAGGAGAAGAAAAATAGTAAAAAAAAAAAAAATCCCCCACAGGCACACATTGGGTCTGTGACACTGATGTGTTTCTCTTCAGCCAAGCCTCAAAGGTGAGCGTCCACCTGCACTGTGCCCACGGGCCGGCCTGTCCAATGCCAGGCCTTCAGTTAATGAGGACTGGGAATGCTGAGGGTACCAGGAATGATCAGCAAAGCTCAGCACGCATGCCAGCCAAGAGGCCCAGCTACAGAGTCGTATGTTCACACTGGGCCCTCTGTTGAAGTGAAAAAAACAAAAATGAGGAGTCCACACATGCACTATTCCAGAGCTTGCTCTTCTCGAGCTTGTCTCTGGATACAGTCTTTTGAAGGAAAGCCTAGAAATTTCTAGAAGCCCAAGCCCCAGGATTGCTATCTTTTTTTTTTTTTTTTAGCACAGAACTCAGAAAATCTCCCCTATCTGTTGGGGGCATGTAAGGTTATTTTGAACAGTGCTAGTAATAGCCAAAAAGTGATGGAGGGAAAGACGGAGGAAGGGTAGGAGGGAGGGATGGAGGGAAGGAATGGGAAGGAGGGAGGGAGAATCAATTTTTAAAAATAAAACCAGGAAAGATGTAACATCTTTAAGTTTTATATGAAAAACAGCAGCAGCAGCAGCAGCAGCAGCAGATCGATTCAAAGTTAGAACACAGACTTCCATTTCCCCTGGAAACCATTCTCCTTCCCTCTCAATAGCAGTGGATTTCCAGTTGAGTTCCACTGGGCCTTGCACACAGGTGCTTGGTCTTTAACAGTCAATTTGGAATATGTGAAGCCAGTCACAATTGTAGTCTGGGAAAATCAGCTCATAATTAAAAGGCTGAATCTAGTTGGGTGGTTTTTGGGGCACTGTTATTCTCTTATTTTTTTTAATACGCTTTTTCCTTTGGCTCCTCGCTGGCCCTTCATTCATAGCTATTTGTTTCCTTGGTGCTGGGGGGCTTGGAGAGAAGGGTTACAGGAAAATCAACTAAAATCCGCTGGAAGATGCTTTCGCCAGAGGGCGCAGCATGGCCTTGACATGCGTCTTGTGAAGACGGACCGCACTGTGTGGCAGGGCTCTTTGCAAGATCATTTTCGTATTTGAAAAAAAGCAAGTTGTGGTTGTTTGTCTGTCCTCTGGGATCTTTCCAATGCTGAAGGCCAAGAAAAGGAAAGAAAAATAATCAGGACAAGAGTCGTGGCCGATCCTGCGGCTTGTGCCCGGGGCCTGGATGGAGGACATGTGTGCATTGGCCTTGTATAGAGAGGAGACTCACAGGATACAGGAAAGGAGGAGAAGGGAGCAAGAGGAAATCCACCGAGTGTAAGCAAAGACAAATCTTCCTCAGTCAACACGGAAGAAATGGAGTGACCATTGACACATATTTATCAACTATTTTAATCTTGGTGGACAAGAGAGATGTGTGTGAGAGAGTGTGTGTGTGTGTGAGTGTGTGTGTGTGCTATTTCTGGGACTTGAATTCAATGTTTGGGCACTGTTTCTGAGTTTTTTTGCTCAAGGTTAGAGCTCTAACAGTTGAGCCGCATCTCTACTTCTGGCTTTTTTGTGTGTGGCTAACTAGAGATAAGAGTTGCCCTGACTTTCCTGACCAGGCTGGCTTTCAACAGTGATCCTCAGATGTCAGCTCCTGAGTAGCTAGGATTACGGGTGTGAGCCAACAGTGCTCAGTAATACAGACATTTTGACGCCTTAACATTTTAACACAATTTTTGCATTTTTAGGGTTATTTAAGTGAAAAGCTAAGGAAATATTTGCTACCCATATTCTATAATATCTACAAGTACATAAAACATAAGATTTATATGAGATAAACACTGATGTCCTATGATGTCAGCATTGATGAAACTATCAAAGAAATACTTTAAATCCCCACACTTCATTCTTCAAAGCTAATTTGATCATGACAGTGTTTCGGTTCTTATGCTGCACAGAAAATGCATGTACTTCATTTCACATTTCCAACTCTGGCCTGGTTGCTCTACCTAAGGTTTTTGTTGTTGTTGCTGCTGTTTGTATGTTTTTTGCTCAAGGCTAGCAATATACCACTGCTCCTGAGCCACAGCTCCACATCCAGCATTTTTTGTGATTAATTGGAAGTAAGAGTCTCTGGAATTTCCTGCCTGGGCTGGCTTCAAATCATGATCCTCAGATCTCAGCCTCCTGAGTAGCTAGGATTCTAGGCATGAGCTACAGAACCCACTAACATTATACATTTTTTTTTGGTTAAGACTATGCATAACATTTTTCTTCTATTTTTTCCTGCCTTTTCAATTATTTGGCATTATAAATTTTACTTTCTACCAAACTTTAAAAAAAGAAGACAACTTATCTTCCTAACACACATTCCTGGGGGAGGAAAAAATTCATAATTGGGGAACAGAGCCAAAGTTATTTGCAGACAGAACTACCAAACTACAGTTCTGGATTGGACAGGAACATGGATGTTTCACTGAACTTCTTTTTATAAAAAAATGTATTAGATTTTTAAAAGAAAATTTCCTATAAACCCTCTCAGGTGATAACATTTTCATAACAAATTTTGGCTGAACTGGGATTTGAACTCCACACTTGCTAGTCTAGCGCTCTGCCACTTGAGCCACACCCCCTGCTCTTTTGGATTTCTTTTTTTCTTTTCAAGAGACTCCGTTTTTCCCCTGATTCAATCTGGACACACTGTGACCCCATTCACACTGTGTGTGGGGCTGGCAGGTTGACCACGCGTGACCCCCATTTACACTCCCTAGTTTTTGATGGCTGAGGTTCATTCTCATGAACTTTCGCCCGGGCAGGCCCCAAAGCACAGTTCTCCACTTCTCAGCCTCACGAGGAGCAGCCAGGGTGACAGGTATGAGCACCAGGGCTCATCCAAACTCAGCTTTTCATGCGTCACACTTTGGAAACGGTAGTCATCCCTTAGTATTCACGGTCTACACAGGTGCCGTGGATACCCGGATCCCAGCAACAGACCGGGAGGGAAGACACAGATGTACTGACTCCTGCATTTCCTTAACTTGCAGACTAAAATCTTCAACTTGGAAATTCCTCAATTTCCTTAGTTCTTCTTTTAACATTTTATTTTTTTCTTGAAGATTTTTCAAGTCTTCACTCCAAACCACGTCTTCAAGCTCAAGACTTTTGCATGTAGAAATTATGGAACTAGACCCATCTTGGGCTAATTACCCTCTCTAACCCATTCTGGAAGAGGCTGCGTATGGTCAACAGAGATTATGGGGAAGCATGAAAACAGAACAATGCAGCCTGGTAAAGTTGTATCTGGATGGGATAAGAGGAGTGAAAGGACATGATGAGAGGGATATTGATGGGAATACATTGTAAACCTGAATGGACATGTCATAATACAACCCCCACTTGCATTGTTAATGTATGCTAATTACAAAGATTGACCTAACAAGAAAAGTCAAGCTAAGCATAGTAGTGCATATCCAAACTACTTGGGATGTGGAAATAGGAAGATTGTGAGTTCGAGAGCAGACTGAGCAAAGTTAGCAATCTCAAATATAAGATAAAATCTTGGGACTGGGAGCTGGGGTGGGTAGCTTGAGTGGTAGAACACTTGTTAAATCGTGAGGCTGTAGGTTCAATCCCCAGAAGTACAAAGGAGAGGAGCAGGGAAGAAGAGTCAAGATATTGAGCAGTCTCAGCCATTTGCTTTTTAGAATGCCAAGGAAGATCTGCTCTTGAGAGGGAAATGTTCTACAGTTAGAAATAATCACTCCATTAAAAACCATCCTGAGCCGGGCGCTGGGGGCTCACGCCTGTAATCTTAGAGTGTGAGGAGGCTGAGATCTAAGGATCACGGTTCAAAGCCAACTCAGGCAGGAAAGTCTGTGAGATTCTTGTCTCTACTTAATCACAGTAAAATCCAGAAGTGGTGCTGTAGCTCAAGTGGTAGAGCATTAGCCTTGGGCCAAAGTAGCTCACGGACAGTGCCCAGAGTTCAAGCCCTAGAACGGGGGGAGGGGGTGGGAGGGAGGGGGGAGGGATCCTGAATCCAATTTCATAATAAATTTACTATTTACTATTTGACTCAGGACACAAACCCTGAGCATAGTGGGACACTCATTAGCCATTACTGTCAGGGATGCTCACACCATACAAAAGAAACAGAAAGGCTTAGCAGGTGGTGATGTTCAAGATCCTGAAATGAAAGCAAAACTTGCAGGTGTTTGAAATAATGAAGCTTCTGGTATGATGTTCCCATTTCTTCCCCTGCAGGGAAACACCAGGGGAAGAGGGCAGTCAGGGGTTTGGGAACATACCCCGGACCACCTGGAGCCTCTGCCGAGTGCTGGGTGCGGATCTCCTCCCCACGGCTGGCCACGGAGCGGAGGAGGCTCTTCTGGGCTGCTAACTCTTCTTCCAACTCCTGTTCCAGGCAAAAGACAGACACAAACAACACCATCAGCCTCTCTGGACACAGGCCGCCCTTCTGAGATCACTGTTTGCAATTGACTGTTGACAACCACACTTCTCTAGCTAGAAAATTCTCAGGGAGCTTTGGCCATAAGGCTTCTAAATGTTCTCATTTTGTAAAAACCATGTGCTGCTGGCAAATCCTCCACATTTCCTTCCAAACTTAAGCTGGAACCTTATCAGCTTTGATAAAGGTTAGCAGCCCCAGAAAGAAGAAATCTGCTAGGCAACGGCGCCCTCCAGTGGTAGCAAGTGCACTTTCATCTTGCAGAACTGATTTTTTTTTTTTTTTTGGTCGGTCGTGGGGCCTGAACTCTGGGCCTGGGCGCTGTCCCTCAGCTCTTCAGCTCAAGGCTAGCACTCTACCACTTGAACGACAGTGCCACTTCTAGCTTTTTTCTTTTTGCTTATGTGGTGCTGAGGAATCGAACCCAGGGCCTCAGGCATGCAAGGCAAGCGCTCTACCACTGAGCCACCTTCCCAGGCCCTTGCAGAAGTAATAAACGTGTTGAGCTGCCTGGGATCAAAATCCTGCACTCACATCACACACCTGACCAGCAAAGGATTTGGCTTTACTTTTCCAGTTGTAGTAAAGGATTTTTCTCCTGGAAAAATATTTTCTTCTCTCTTTTAAAAAATACAATATAGGGGCTGGGAAGGTGGCTCCGTGGTAGAGTGCTTGCCTTGCATGCATGAGGCCCTGGGTTCGATTCCTCAGCACCACATAAACAGAAAAAAAAAGCAGGAAGTGGCTCTGTGGCTCAAGTGGTAGAGTGCTAGCCTTGAGCTGAAGAGCTGAGGGACAGCGCCCAGGCCCAGAGTTCAGGCCCCACGACCAGACCCCCCCCAAAAAAAACCCAAAATAATAAAAAAATACAATATAGGGCTGGGAAGGTGGCTCAGTGGTAGAGCGCTTGCCTTGCATGCATGAAGCCCTAGGTTCCATTCCTTAGCACCACATAAGCAGAAAAAGCCAGAAGTGGCTGTGGCTCAAGTGGTAGAGCACTAGCCTTGAGCTGAAGAGCTGAGAGATGGTGCCCAGGCCCCGAGTTCAGGCCCCATGACTGGCAAAAAAAAAAAACAAAATGAAATAAAAATACAAGGTGTGTGTGTGTGTGTGTGTGTGTGTGTGTGTGTGTGTGTACACCAATTCTAACTCAGGCTTGAGTGTTATTCCTGAGCTTCTCTGTTTGTGGCTGGTCACTCTACCACTTAAGCCATGCCTTCATTGCTGGCTTTTTCTGGTAAACTGGAGATAAGAGTTTGGTAAATTGGAGATAAGATTTTCTGGGACTTTCCTGCCCAGGCTGGCTTCACACTGTGATCCTCAGATCTCAGCCTCCTGAGTAGCTAGGATTGCAGGTATAGTGTGAGCCACTTGGAGCCCAGCTAACACAATATTTTCTCATATACCTTTTATACAAAGTTAAAATATCAAGGAAAATCAGTCACCTTGATCCAAACTCCATTTTTTTCCCACTAGACAAGTTTCCAATCCTCTTTTGTGGTGGTATTTACCCAAAAGTAAAACCAAATTGGATTTCTTTGGGGAAATAATAAGCCCAGTCAAGCTTCTCCCAATTTGAAGAGGCTTTCCTGAGATTGTGATTGTAAAAAAATAGATTCCAATGGGGCCAATCAGAAAGTAAGAGCATTCCATGAGGAAGAGGACGGTGGCAGAGTTGTACTGTTTGTGATCTTAAATAGATGCTTCTCTTATCAGCCCAGCCATCACCAGTCACGGGTGAACCACTGAAAAGATCAGCCAACGTCTTGCTTCTTTCAAAGAGAGGGGAAAGGTCACAGTATAACCCCTGCTTTCACTATATTTGATGTCAGTATAATTTGTGGAGGAGATGGGGAAAAACAAGTCATTTAAGGATACAGGTGGACCCGTTGCAGCAATGAGAAGTACAAGTTGTCATGTCGAAAACGAACTTTACAACTCTGGTGCAGGGTTGGGGTGGGGGGAGAATTGGGTAGGGGAGGGGCGGGGGGAGGCTGGGAAGGGATGTGAAGGGTAAACAAAGGAGGAGGCAACAATGCTTGATAAGAAATGTACTCATTATCTTGCCCATGTAATTGTAACCCCTCTGTACAGTATGTTCACAAAAAATAAAAATAAATAAAATAAATAAAAAAAAGAGAGAGGGGAAAAGGGACCCTTTAGTAAAGAACCAACTGGTCCTGTGGAAACAGTTCCCTCCGGTTCTTGGAAGAAGTCCGACGCGCCTTACTTTTTGTTGCTGGAGACTGCTCTGGCGCTGGTGCGTCCGCGTGGTGCGTGCTTGAGCCAGCCATTCCTGCACGCCAGGGCTCTGAGCGGCTGTGGGGTCCGAATCTCTCTCTTCCTTCTCTTGTGTGGCTCCCTGCTTTGAAGGAAACAGAAACGGAGGGGTCAGATGACACGCAGGCAAACCTTTTCCCGCATGGCGTGGTCTGTGATAATTATACCCAAAGAGCAGCCTTGGGACCTGAAGTCATATATTTTGTTTTTTTTAAGACCAGGACACAAAAGCCATCAAAGTCATGGTATTTTCCTGGGCAAGAGCAATAAACGGGTCATTCTATTCAGAAATATTGGAGGGAGAAAGAAATGTGACTCAGATGTGGTCACGGGGTTTTATAGCAAAAGTGTGTTTGTTGTTTTCTTAACCAGACGTTGTTTTCTTAACCAGACAATAACATTAGATCCTTTGAGGATGCGTTGTTAAGACATATCAAAGTGGAGTGTTGCTCAAGTCCTCATCCTGAGTTTGTGACCGTTTCTCTGCTCCTTTCTCTATCCAGGTCATCGTCCATCTACACCTGCATGTATGTGGGGGGGGGTCCCTATTTCTCGAAGGATACTAACCAAAAAAGATCCCTAGACTTTTGAGACATACTAAGTCCACAGTTGAATCCACACTCCAGAACTGGGAAAAACCTCAGACTTCTGAGCTGACCGCCAGCCCCAGTGGGAGAAATCAGACTGGGGCTCAAGGTCCAGGCCTCTGCTCAGTCCTGGCGGGCAGCTCGGCTGGCTGAGAGACACACCCACACGAGGAAAGCTCACTTCTTTGTGTGTCTGGGCACCCACTGCCCCACGGGGGCGCAGACTCAACCCATGCTGCTTCCCATCGATTAGTTCAAAATCCGCGTCACCCCTGGGGAAGCAGTGGTGTGTGGAGAGCTGGCCTGGCCGTGAGATGTGCCTTCCAAAATAATTTACTTGATGGCTATGAGAATGGGGATGCACAGAGGGATTCCGATTGCATGGGTCGGGTAATGAGCACATTTGCTTCCATACAGTGTCTCCCTTCGCTCGCCTTACCCCCGCCCCTCCCTCCCGTCTCCACTCACGAGTTGTACAGTTCACTTTCGTCTGTGTCCTACCCAATGGCTGCACTTTTCACCCTTTTCCCCTGAGTTCTGTGTCCTACCCCCGGCCCTCCCAAAGATATGCACACGAATGCCCAGACCTAAGGTAAAAAAGACAGAATCATCAAAAAGTTAAGAGAGAGAGAGAGATCTCGTTTCCCTCTCTTGGAGTTCGTTTGAATGAATGCCATTTTAAATACACACGCAGAGGTGCGCAGTCATTGAGTGTCTCCCTTCGAAGCATCTCCTCTTCGGCTCTCAGTGTGTGTGAGAGATGCGTCTTTGATGGGCGGGTGCTGGTCCCGGCCGCTCTTGTGATTCTGTCTCTGTGCTCTGGGTGTCATGAGGTGGCATTTGCTCCTGTGCATGAGAGTCCCGCAGGCCTCAGAGCCATGAGCCGGCAGACTCGGGAATGCGTCCTCTGAAACTCAAATCCTCCCTCATGCCGACTTCTGCCAGACGCACTGTGGCAGTGGTGGAAAACCCACCAAACCCACGGGGCCCCACCGCGCCAAGTCCACTGCGCAACCCGCGTGGAATGGACGGCCAGCGACCAGCGACATCCGTCACCAGCCAGCCCACCTCCCAGGAATGCTTGTCAAAAGTAATCACTGCGCTGGGCGTCTATCATCCTAACTACTCAGGAGGATGAGAGCTAAGGATCACAGTTCAAAGCCAGCCCAGGCAAGGAAAGTCTGTGAGATTCTTATCTCCAATGAACCATCAGAAAGCCTGAAGTGGCGCTGTGGCTCAGGTGGTAGAGCGCTAGCCTTGAGCTGAAGAGCTAAGGGACAGCACTCAGGCCCAGAGTTCAAGCCCCACAACTAACCAAAAAAGAAAAGAAAAGAAAAAGTAATCACTGAGCATTGTGTTCTGACTCTGTCCTTCTTTCAGGAATAAGCTCTGGAGACACTGTCTCTTCCAGGAAATGAAGAAACCATTTCCGGTCAGATGGGATCCATAGAGAATGAATAGAATGAGGAGAAAGGCAGCTCAGGAGTCAGCGCACCACACCCAAGCCGCGCCAGCGGCAGCCACTCAGCTGACAGCACAGCGGCCTGGGAAACCACTTCCTCTCTGTCATTCTCCTTAGCCATGATCTGGTTTTCAGAGCCCAGCCTGAAGATTTCTTCGGACACTTCCCCCAGCCCTCGGAAGCCACCAACTCCTCCAGTCTGGTTACCATCTTTAGATGGAAGCTCTCCTTTCAGATTCCGCACACCTCACTGATACTTGTAACCAACAGCGGCGGACATGGCGGCCTCAGAACAACTCACATGCACAGACGAACGTGAAGGTTCCAAGGCTTACTACTCTCAGCCACATCCCAGAGGAGATGGACGCAGCCTGTGCTGTGTGTGGCTACATTTGGTTGTTTTGGTGGTCAGTGACTTTCTCTGTGACTCAGTCATTCTGAAAACCAAGACTTGAATCACAAGAAGCAAAATGACTAAGAATCCTATTTAAGTTCCAGCTCTTTTCCTCAGGGTACAGAGGTGCTGGCAGGAGGAACGTTTATGTGTTTCTTTGTGAGGTAGAAGATGGGCTCTCTCTTATAGAGAGGCAGGAGTATGGTGGGGCCTGCCACTAAATGTGGTAGTAGATGCTCTGGGGATTTGCAGGAGCACTGAGCAATTAGGTGTTACGGGGTTGGGCTGTGGCGTGTTGGGAGAGCACATGACTTTCTGGATACAGAAAAGGACAGAGAACAAGATCAGGAGGTAGAGGAGGAGGAGAAAGAAGAAAGAAATGTGAAGGTATTCCAATGCAGTTAAAGGATATAGCCTTACTAATTGAGAGATGGCAGATTTTTTTTCCCCCAGTTAACCTGAGTTAATTTGAGACCAAGTCTAGATTCCTTTTCATTTTCTACATAAGGTGAAATGGCCGTTTGCATTACATCCATAACATAAACAGGGTTACTTTTATCCCCTGGGGTGGAAAAAATAACCAAAGTGCCTCAAAAACGGAAAAAAGCCTAATAGTTTGTTAAATCCCATCGATATTCCATATGCTAGAAATGTACCAGATGAAAGATGGCAAGTGTTTATAGGTATTTTGAAAATAACCAATGAGGGCTGGGAAGGTGGCTCAGTGGTAGAGCGCTTGCCTTGCATGCCTGAGGCTCTGGGTTCAATTCCTCAGCACCACATAAGCAAAACGAAAAAAGCCGGAAGTGGCGCTGTGGCTCAAGTGGTAAAACACTAGCCTTGAGCTGAAGAGCTGAGGGACAGCACCCAGGCCCAGAGATCAGGCCCCACAACCAGATCCAAAAATATAAAAGTAAAGAAAAAGAAAATAACCAATGACTCGTTTCAATGCAGCTGAAAATTACCTTGTTGGAGTTCTGTTAGTATCTATAGACCACCCCCCAGAAGCCTCAGGAAAGCTTTCAGCTGTGGCAGAGACAGAACTTCATCCAATTTAAACAATTTCCTGGCACCATGGGTGGGAGCTATGGGGTGGGGCTCGTGGCCCTCTCTAGACCTGACAGCTTCAACCCGGACTGTCTGCAGGCCCCGCAGTTCTGCCCTCTCCCACATAATTCAGACTGGGAGCACTTGATTGTTCTCATCACCCAGGCTGTGGCTTCAATGTCTATTGGCAGCATTGTTCACATTAAAATCCTCAGGACAGTTTATGTCACTTAAGTGAAATAAGTTTATCCTTAAGTTTTCCTTTGGAGGTTCCATTTACCCACCATCAACCATAATCCAGAAACATGACTTGTCGTAACTCTGTCAGGAAAGATGACTTTTTATTTAAGTTTATTATTAAAGTAGGTCTAATTTATTAGTTACTGCTGTTAACTTCTTACTGGGACTAGTTTATAAACTAAACCTTCTCATGGGTATTGGCTAAAACACAGAGTGGCCTCCTCAGAACACAGCCCTGTGGGTAAAGAGAGGTTTGCCTTGCTATAATTATTAAATGAAGATGAAAACACTGAGGTGGGATACAGTTTTAAGTTGAAGAACCTTGGCTCTCATTTGCACACGCTTCCCAGGCTCTGAAGGCCTGGGCCGTGGCCCCTGCCTCATCTATGGTAAGAATTCGTTAGGTTCAATTCAAATGGAATACATGACAGTTCTAAAGTATGACCACTCAATTAAATAATCTGAGGACATGTACAGGATGTGCAGGAGAGGAGAAATGAACCAAAATTACAGCCATGTCAAAGCAGATCTTCACCCATGACCTGTGCTACAACTTGAAGGGTGATTATTTTTAACTTTGATTAGTTTTCGCTTTCTTGTCTCACACCAACTCTTCTCTTTGGGTTCATGGATTCAAGAAATCTGAACAAAACCTCGCTGGAAAACCCATGTAAAAGGCAGCGTGTGAACACACAGCTTGCTGACATGTGTCAGACAGTGGCGTCTGGCCACGTGCTCCATCCTCAGCCTAACACTGCCACAGCTCAACTCATCTCACCTGTGGGCTGGGGGCCAGCCCTGGGCACCCACCTGGATGTCGAGCTGCTTGTGGTGGAGGGCTTTCTGCAGCTCCAGGAGGCTCCCCTTGAGCGTCCGCAGCTTCACGGCCAGCTGCTCGGCTTCGTCCTTCGTGTGGGCCTTGCCTTCCAGCAGCAGGTTCTCGTTGTGGACGGACAACTGCGACAGGGCCACCACCTTCTGCTCGATCTCCACCAGCATGTTCTGGAACAGCAGGAAAAGCATGGGAGCTGCATATCCCACCAGCCCTTGGGAAGACTGCATCCTGAGAGACGAGCAGGCTTCCCGGGGTTACTTTTGCCACTTCGAAAAGTGTGTGGATTTTTGTAATTGCCTGGGTTTCTTAATTCGACATGCCCTCCCCTCCCTCTCTGTCTAAGGTATAGGGGCAGTATTGAAGATTTGAAGATGGGGTCTCCTGGCCACTAGACAAGTGTTGTACTACTTGATTCACATTCCCAGTAGTTTATTTCATTTTATTTTTTAGTTTGTTTTTGACTGAATCTCCTACTTTTGCCTTGGTCGGTCTCAAACCACCATCCTCCTCTCTTTGTCCTCAGAGCTGAGATTACAGGCATGTGTACCCCACTCCACGGATTTTCTATTTTCAAGGCTATGTATTATACAATAATCCCCTGGAAATGACACATGAGAAGCATATTTTATCTAGTGTCAACAAATAATGAGAGTGTTATCCCATTACTACTGTCATTTTAATGTTTTAGTGTTAGATTAGGAGACATATATAAAAATATCAAGCAATCAACCTTTTTTTTCTTGTCACCTTGTAGAGAACTCTCCTTTCTCAACCCATTGCTTCTTTAGGTTGATTATTTTTCTCCAGGTCACTGCCCTTATCTCTTTTTAAAATAAATGCTGTTCATTATTTGCCTGGGTCTGAGATTTACCCACATGCCCAGGTGTGGGGTGCCACTGGCCAGGGGTGGAATCCACAGGTGGGCCTGGAGGAGGGTTTAGGAGAGCTGGTCCTCTAGGTGGATCTTTTCTCTTTTTCTCTACCAATCATGAGGCTAAAAGTCTTCTTTCTCCATTCACTCTGCCATGAGGTCCCGTGCTACCACAAGTTCAAAGCAACATGGCCAGTCCAGAGTGCATTGGGAGCTCTCCTGGTGTGCCAACACAAACCTTTCTTCTTCTTACACGGAGTTTCTTAGGCTTTCTATTACAGTAGCAGAAAACTAACATGCATTCTCTTCTATGTGTGTGGAAATTTTCCTAATAAAGAGCTAGGAAGACAGCATGAGAACAAAACCTTTAATGTAAGTAACTCCTCACATCAGTTGCCAGAGTCCTAACATGGGAGGAAGTAAAAAGTTCTCTGCTTCAAAAGCTCAGAACCACTGGCTCATGCCTATAGCTTTAGTTACTTGGGAGGCTGAGATCTAAGTATTGCAGTTCAAAGCCAGCCCGGACAGAAAAGTCTATAAGACTCCTATTTTCAATTGAAAAGCAAAAAGATAGAAACAAAACAGTGGTAGAGCACTAGCCAAGTCTTCTTATTTGTTTGGCATTTCCCTTGAACTACTAAACACAAATGTTTTGAAACACATCCACTGGAAAGCAGAATATTTTGTCCAGTGTGGATACTACTGACAGTACGAGATAGGTTCTGGTTTTGTTTTTTCCCTAAATCGCGTGCACGTGTGGGCTCACTCAAGCTTTTAGGCCCCCGACGCCTATAGAGAGCATGGGTAGTGAAGAATCACGTGTGTGCCCCAAGACGCTCGGCCTTTGTGTCCTGTGCGAGGTGTGGGGGACGCAGGCCTACCTGGCAGTCCTCCAGCTGGGCCTCCATGTCCATGGGGTCCTTGGGGGCAGCCAGCGCGACGTCCAGACTGGCCTTGGTGTTCAGGAGCCAGTGGTCCAGCTCGTCGGCCTCGCTGCGGTACCTCTGCAGGGCCTGCTCCTGCCGCTGCTCCTCCAGCTGCTCGTTCAGCTTCTCCTGGACGAGGTGGAGTAGAGCGGGACACAGATCAGTGGGGCTGGGGGGAGAGGGGAGCCGGGGGAAGGTCTCTAAGCCACCCTCTCCCACCCCCGTCTATCTACATGGCAGGCCACAGCAGGTGTCGTGTCTTGAGATGAGTATTTTGGAAAGTGTTCCTTCATGACTCTCATGGGCCTTAGAGCTGAACATAACACCTGTAGACAGTATTCCAAGAGAACCAGGCAGTCATGGGAATGATGGAAATAAGCCAAAGATGAGAACCGAACTGTAGCATAAGGCAGCGGCTGGTAGATGACAACAGACACTTGAACTCAGTGTCTGAGAAACAGAAGGGAGTGGTGCGGAGCCTGGCAAATGGAAGAGCACTGACGGATTCTGCTCCCCAAAGAGGCAGCCAGCATGCAGTTTCATGGGAAACGGTGACTTGGTGTTGCTGAATCTTAAGTGAAATCCAAACTTCAGGTTCGACCTCTGGGCTTTTCAATGCTTAAAAATAATTTGTGTTGGCTTTTGGGCATTTACCCAAATGTTTACAAACAAGACCATACTAAAGCTACCAGCACAACTATGTTTATTGCAGCATTATTTACTATAGCTAAGATATGGAACCAACTCAGATACCCCTCAGTAGATGAATGGATCAAGAAAATGTGTTATATATACACAATGGAATTCTATGCCTCCATCAGAAAGAATGACATTGCCCCATTTGTTAGGAAATGGAAAGGCTTGGGAAAAATTATATTAAGTGAAGTAAGCCAAGCCCAAAGAAACATAGGTCCCATGGTTTCCCTTATTTGCAATAACTACAAGCAGAAAAAGTCAGATAAGTTGATGTTAGGTGAAATGAACCCTAAGATATGTATTCAAATGTTTTTTTTCTTTCATGCATTTGTTTCTAACACATTTATAAGATTATTTCTTTGTTGCTTTGTATGTCCCTCCCCCACAGTATAACCCCTGCTTTCACTGTATTTGATATCGGTATAATTTGTGGAGGGGAAGGGGAAAAATAAGTCGTTTAAATAAGGATACAGGTGGACCCATTGCAACAATGAGAAGTACAAGTTGTCATGTCGAAAACGAACTTTACAACTTTGGTGGGGGGGAGGATTCGGTGGGGGGGCAGGGGGAGGCTGGGAAGGGATGGGAAGGGGAAACAAAGGAGGAGGCTACAATGCTTGTTAAGAAATGTACTCATTATCTTGACCATCTAATTGTAACCCCTCTGTACAGTATTTTCACAATAAAAAATAAATAAAAATTTTTAAAAAAATAATCATTTGTGTTGGAACAGATGCTAGTGGTTCATGCTTATAAGCCTAGCTACTCAGAAGGCCAAGATATGAGATCTGAGGATTGTGGTTCAAAGCCAGCCCAGGCAGGAATATCTGTGAGACTCTTATCTCCAATTAAGCACCCAAAAAATCCCAAAGTAGAGCTATGGCTGGAGTGGTAGAATATTGGCCTTCAGCAACAGAGCTCAGGCCTAGGCCTCAAGTTCAAGCCCCAAGATCAATACCAAATCAATCGATAAAATGATTTGTGTTGAAAAATTTCTTGCTAATCATTTTATTTTGAAACCCCACAAGAGTAAGGTCCATATGAGTGAATGAAAGTTAATTCTTCAGATGGGTTAAATATCTTGTTTTTAAAATAATCTTAAAACTATTTCCCATTTAATAGTCTTTATTTAAAATTTTATTAGGTAGTCGAACATGGAGATTATCAGTAAGTAGGGCAGATACAATGATATTAAATAAAATAAGAAATGTAGGAGTCAGGTGCTGGTGGCTCACGTCTGTAATCCTAGCTACTCAGGAAGCTGGGATTTAAGGTCTGAGGGTTGTGGTTTGAAGCCAGCCCAGTCAGGAAAGTCTGTGCGACTCTTATCTCCAATTAACCACCAAAAAAGCTGAAAGTGGAAACATGGCTCAAGTGGTAGAGTGCCAGCCTCAAGTGGAAGAGCTAAGGGACAGCATTATAGCTCTGAGTTCATGTCCCAGACCCAGGAAGAAATATATGATGAGCTGAATTAGGATTTAAACCATATTCAATTCACATAGAATTGAGAGCCAGTGATACACAGGAAGATTCTGGGAGACAGAGCAGGTGTGGTAGAAGTTTTCCTGAAACCTCAAGTCTAACCCAAATGTAGAAATATTCTGCATATTTAGGACCAAGAAGTATAAAGAATATCAATAGAAAAAAAATCACTGATTTTTCATGCATGCATTGCGGTAGCCAGCATGGGTCTCTATCACGCAATGTTAAGGTAACCGGATGGTGTGACTTTGCATGCATGTTCTCATGAACGGGTGTGGCCCGGCAGCCAGTGAGCGGGAACAAGCCGGGACCACCGTGGCCGCCCACAGGCCCTGCTGTTATCCCTACCCGTCATCCTGACCTGGATCCCCCCTCACCTCCAACAGCTGCCGCTTTCCCGACGCCTTCATCCTGATGGTGGACATGCGCTCGGCCAGGACGGTGAGCGTGGACTGCAGGGCCAGCCGCTCCGCGGGGTCTGACTCCTGGCACTCGGCCGCCAGCTCCGCCGCCAGGGCCGCCTGGAGCCCGCTGATCTCATCCTGCAGCGTGAGGATCTCGTCCATGAGGGCCTGCAGGGGACACTGAGGGTCAGACTCATGGATGGACTTCCGATGGGGAGACCAGACACGGCCTGGTGGGGTCTCACATCCTCGGAGACTCTGCAGGAAGACTTTTCCCCCTGGACGCCACTGACCCAGCAACCTGGGGGCTGCTCACCCGAGTGGTGAAAGGATGGTGCCAGGCAGAATTCCGGGGTGTTTCTGGTTGTAATAGGGTGACACCGACTAATGTCAGTGACCTATGGGCCTTCCCGGCTTGTCCGGGGAGTGCGTCACTCATGTCTGCCTCTATGCTGGAATACCCTAAGTCATCACGGCTCCGTCTGATAAGACAGAGGAAGCCTGTAGCCCACTTCCACCATGTGACATGAGGGTCATTTCCCCTTCTCCACTCGGCTCTCAAAATCACGATTTCCAGGACCTCTTTTCTCAGGGCAGTCGATTCTGATCCTCCAATTGAGGACAGACATCTGTGCTCAATTCCTAGCTTCTGTTTTCTATTTGCATGTCTCACGGGCTGTTTCCAGTATGCCGACTATTGTTGTATTAAAATTCCAGGAGGTTGGGGATGGGCAGGAGATGGACAGAACTCCCGGCCCTGGATAAGAGCCGGGGGAGGCAGGGAACACACAGGCAAACAGGGCTGGTCTCTTCAGATGACCGTATGGAGGCTGCCACAACCGCCAAACCAGATGGCAGGATCCTGAGCCCCTTCTAGAAGGGTCAAAGTTCAAACACTTGGAGGGTAGTGGTCTAGGAGATGGGTGGAGCTTGGAGGAGAATGGCATTGCTATGGTCACTCCAGTCCCTGAGGGGCCTCATCAGTGAAATGAGGTAGGGAAACGAAGCTGCAATGGTGTTGCTTTAATCTCCTCCTTCACCCCCCCTTCCCCAAGCTTGGTGGGTCAAAAGAGCTGGCAGGAACCCTTCCAGAAGGCGGTTCATCAACAACAACCAAAAAGGCCTAAAAATTGATGAGTGTGCATTTCGATATCTCTTTTAAGAAGTTACAAAAGTGTCAGAAATGTGAAACCACTATTGCTCAAGGTGCAGACTTCAGATGAGATGTTCACATCGTCTGTGTTATCCTGAGAGACCCCGTGTTACAAAAGCAGGAGATCCTATCTTACTCCACCTAGGAGTATTGTCTATAGCTGTCCTAGCTGGAAAGATAGAGAACCTTCAGGACAGAAGTATAGAGCTTTATTTACACACACACACACACACACACACACACACACACATACACACACACATACACACAGTCTTCTTACATGCTGTGCAAACACCCTAGGCCATTTATTGACTTTGCCTGCATTGACAGGCATGTGCCATCATACCAGGCTTTTTTTTAATGGCTCTTAATTCCTATCTAGTGATGACATCTTCCTCCCTCCACCCCCTCCTCCCCACCACCCCCTCAGGCTGCTGTAGGCTTGTCCCAGGCTCCTGTGCTCTGGACAGCAGTAGGCGCCACCTTCACATCACAACACCTGACACACAGGTGAACACCTGGCTGTGTAGACTGCAATGAGACTGCACACCTGTGCTGTGGGTCCACAACACAGCATCACTGAGGATGTCTCCATATAGATGGGCTTCTAAAACCAGTGCATTTCCAATGTCACCTGATTGTCTTAGGTTACTATCACCAGCTCTGTTCTCTTCATAAAGGAGAAGCTCTGTCTAACTTATGTAACCATTCCTAAAATTCCTGAAGTCAGAACAATCGCCAGACAGGAGCCAGCACCCCCCAGATGCCATCCAACTGCACCTTTGCCCACAGCAACCTGAAACTTACTCTATTCCAAGAGCTAGTGGTTTGGACACCCACCGGCTAGTACTTCAGTGGGTAGATTTGGGGTGCGTTTTATCCTGACAACACTGACACTCACAATAACATCAAAACCCTCTGACCACGGTAAGGAAAGATACTTTGTGAAAGAGGAGGAAATAAAACTGCATGCATGCATGGAGCTTGTAAAAGGGAACACGCAGGGTCCGCTTCTGTTTTCCCCTGTAGAGCGCTCCGGGGAGCCGTGGCAGGTGTGGCCTACCACGGTGTGGAATTCACCCCCATGATCCCACCACATGGAACCTTGCGTATTCCACCAGAACGGCCAGCGGGAGGAGCTCACCACCCCCATCCGTCAAGCGGGAAGCTGAAGCCCCCACCATGTTTACCTGATGCTCAGCCATCTGGCTCTCTGGACTTCGGCTGGGCTGAAGACCCTCGCTCAGCTTCATCTCCATGGCTTCCATCTTTGTGGAGATGGACTGCAGAGAGTCTTGGTATTTCTGTTGGCGCTCCAGGGCTTCATAGAGGGTGCGCTGCTTTTCACTGATCTGGACAAGAAAAAGGGATCTTAGCAACAGTGGGGGACCTCTTATCTTCCACCTTACCACACTCCTTTCCTCCTTGCTTTACCCAACTGGGGGCTGGATGTGTAACTGCGTGAGTTGCATAACACTGAAGGAGATGGGTGAGTGTAAAGCCAATCCCTAGCTGGTGGGTGGGGGAGGTGGGAGGGGGAGACTTACCACATTTTTTAAGGTTTCCCAAGAACGCTGCAAATCACTCAGCTTGGCAGTAGCAGATGGTTCCAGGCCTAGTTCGTAGGACTCCTGAGATGCCACCACCGGGCTGGGGGCAATCCTGGAAGCGTCCAGCTGTAATCTCTCAGCAGACAGGGCTTGGTAATAAGCAATGTCCTGGGAGGAGAAGCCAGTATTACAGTCAATGTGTGGACCAGAGTCTGGATCAATAAGCCTTTGGGTACCATTGACCGTGCAGAATGAAGGGTCTTGGAATTGGGGCCTGAAAGGAGTTTATCCCTTTTTCTAGGGCCTAAGTGAGTACGTGCTTGAGACAAGAATTTAAAATTACCAAAGAATATTCTAGTTCTTTTACGGTTGTGGTTAATAGACAGAATCAACTTTAGCAATATTTATTGTTGTGTAACAAAAGGAAAATACTACCTGCTTGGTAATTTTTTTCCCAAGAAAGTTCTTTACATTCAAATGAGGAATTGCAAATAAAGATCTGTTTGATCTCCCATGATACGTATTTTTAAAAAATTTTGTTGATGATAAAAGTGATGTGCACAGAATCAACTCCAAATGGATCAAAGACCTCGGAGTCAAAGCAGACACTGAAAACATTACAGGATGGAATAGGAGAAACCCTAGGTCTCCTTGGCTCAGGCCGAAATTTTCTTAATAGAGACCCGGAAACACAACAAATCAAAGAA